TTACGAAACTTCAAAGTAAAATTGGCACAGCTTTAGCTGCTAAGGGACTTCCTATGGGAAATTGCATTGTCTATATTTACAGAAGTGCAACCTATATTGGGTGAAAAAAGAGAACACATAGAATTTCACCAAATCTGGTTTATGTCAGAGATTTTAATGAAATTAACTCAAATATAAAGTTTTATAAATATTTCATGAAGATTGAGAAAATCCTGGGCCTCAATTATGATGACTCAGCATAAATTCACAGTTTACAGTATGCATAGTGTACTTAAAGCCCTGAATGCAAAATAAATTCATAATATATACATATTTGTAATTTAAATTGTTTATTAGTGCTTATATTTACTCTTCTCACAAACTACACGAAATACGTCGGACCGTCGGACAAATCCGGTGAATAATGGATCGGTCTGGTAAAATTTTGTTAAATCCCGGTCCGAATGTCCGGTGTTATATTTTTCGTGGATTTTTTTAAAAACCCTACATTTTTCCCAATTTTGGGACCAAATTCCCAAACGATCTCAAAATTCATTCTCATCTTTATTATTCATGACAGCGATGTTTATTTTGTTCAACCGCTAGCTTTATGCCGAAAATCGCATACAAGTAATGTGTAAATCCGAGTAAAAACATATCTGACTGACAAAAACAACAATGGCTGCCATCAACCGGAAATATAAACAATACCGGATCAGATTCCGGGAACGGATAAGGTCAATTTCCGGGTTTGCCGATCAAATACAATAGAAACATAAAAAAAATCCAAGCAGGTTCACAAAATACAGCTATGAAATATAAACACTAGAATTGAAAACCAAAAGATATATGAAAATGAAAGAAGATACAGGAAATATTTTATACAGAAACTCAAAATTTTTAGTTCACAAATAATTTTCATGTCAAAATCCAATAAAATATGACATCACTTTATCACTGAAATGCATTCAAGCAATTGTGCACAACTTTCATCAAAATACATGTATACACTCTTTGTCACATGATTTTGTTTTTGTGCATTTTGGAGAGGAGTAGGGCACAATAAGTCATAAGATTGTTGTATTTTGTCAGATAATATACAATTAGATGTAAAAAAAAATTGGTCAGGTAAAATTTCATTCGGTCTGGTAAAGCTAGGTTGTTTACCAGACCGAATGTCCTGTAAAAATAAAATTCATTCGTGTAGTCTGTTCTCAGTCATTGAAACTCCTAGATCCTTGATGAATATTGTTGTTGGGGTGTTTTTGTCCTGTCCATAACCCAAAAGTAAGCCGTAACACCTGAATTTGCTTTTTTGTGGCCGCAGCAAAAAAAAAATCCAAGCTAGAAATACCTCAATAAAACTAACAATAATGTGTCCTATCCTAAAAATGTACTAAATATTCCATATTCACAGCAACAGCAGAATAATTTAGCAAATTTGAGGCCCCAGTGTACGTCTACATAGTATGTATCTACAAAGTTTCATGAAATTCTGTTGTGTGGTTTCAGAGGAGTTGCAATGACAAGAACAGGACTGATGGACTGTAGTATATTGAGGCCAATAAGTTCAAAGGGGCATAACTCCTAGAAAAAAAAATTGAATCATAATTTCCTGTCGATATGCACGTCTACATAGTATGTCCTTATTATCTACAAAGTTTCATGAAATTCTGTTGAGTAGTTTCAGAGGAGTTGCGATGACAAACTGTTGCAGTTGTATATTGAGGCGAATAAGTGCAAAGGGGCATAACTCCTAGAAAAAAAAATTGAATCACAATATGCACTTCTACATAGTATGTCCTTATTATCTACAAAGTTTCAAGAAATTCTGTTGTGTGGTTTCAGAGGAGTTGCGATGACAAGAACAGGACTGATGGACTGTAGTATATTGAGGCCAATAAGTTCAAAGGGGCATAACTCCTAGAAAAAAAAATGAATCATAATTTCCTGTTGATATGCACATCTAGATAGTATGTCCTTATTATCTACAAAGTTTCATGAAATTCTGTTGTGTAGTTTCAGAGGAGTTGCGATGACAAACTGTTGCAGTAGTATATTAAGGCGAATAAGTGCAAAGGGGCACAACTCCTAGAAAAAAAAATAGAATCATAATTTCCTGTCGATATGCAGGTCTATATAGTATGTCCTTATTATCTACAAAGTTTCCAGAAATTCTGTTGTGTGGTTTCAGAGGAGTTGCAATGACAAGAACAGGACTGACAGACTGTAGTATATTGAGGCTAATAAGTTCAAAGGGGCATAACTCCTAGAAAAAAAATTGAATCATAATTTCATGTTGACATGCACATCTACATAGTATGTCCTTATTATCTACAAAGTTTCATGAAATTCTGCTTTGTAGTTTCAGAGGAGTTGCGATGACAAACTGTTGCAGTAGTTTATTGAGGCCAATAAGTGCAAAGGAGCATAACTCCTAGAAAAAAAATTGAATCATAATATCCTGTTGATATGCACATCTAGATAGTATGTCCTTATTATCTACAAAGTTTCATGAAATTCTGTTGTGTAGTTTCAGAGGAGTTGCGATGACAAACTGTTGCAGTAGTATATTAAGGCGAATAAGTGCAAAGGGGCATAACTCCTAGAAAAAAAAATAGAATCATAATTTCCTGTCGATATGCAGGTCTACATAGTATGTCCTTATTATCTACAAAGTTTCCAGAAATTCTGTTGTGTGATTTCAGAGGAGTTGCGATGACAAAAACAGGACTGACGGACTGTAGTATATTAAGGCTAATAAGTTCAAAGGGGCATAACTCCTAGAAAAAAAATTGAATCATAATTTCATGTAGATATGCACATCTACATAGTATGTCCTTATTATCTACAAAGTTTCATGAAATTCTGCTTTGTAGTTTCAGAGGAGTTGCGATGACAAACTGTTGCAGTAGTTTATTGAGGCCAATAAGTGCAAAGGGGCATAACTCCTAGAAAAAAAATTGAATCATAATTTCCTGTCGAAATGCACATCTACATAGTATGTCCTTATTATCTATAAAGTTTCATGAAATTCTGTTGTGTGGTTTCAGAGGAGTTGCGATGACAAGAACAGGACTGACGGACGGACGGACAGACAGACGGGTCAAAAACATTATACCCGATGCAAAAAGGGTGTCGGGTATAATAAACATCTCAGGGGCAATAACTCAAAAAACAGGTCAACTGATTTTTCTAAAATTTACAAGTAGATAGAGCTTGTTACTTTTTCCCTTATTGCTATAGCTTTTCGAGATATTGGACAATAGTTGCACTTTGACAACTGTTCTATTTTTTGACAGCCATGTTGGTTGATCTACCTCAACAAAATTCACATTGACATTCTACAGATAAAGCAGAAAAAAATTAGTTTCAATCCATTGCTGTTTAAGGGGAGAAGATTTTTAAAGAAAAGTTATATATAACTGACGTGGACGACTGACAACTGTCAACAGACTATTATTTGTATAACTAAGTTTCAACTGAACAATGTAGAAACTGATTATAAAAAGTCTCTTTAAAGAATAAAAATAGGGAGCCTTTAAAGTGTTCTCTTCACTGAGAATAACTAGTATGTTCACATCACTGACAAATTCTTAAGTATCTGATAAACAGATCACAAACTGTATTCACCAGTGAACACAAGTCCAGATTATGGGCACAAGCATATGAAATAGACTGAAATTTGTTCATTAAAAATTGTTCACTTATGATTGAATGATTAAAGGACCAAATAGTTATCTAAATGTCTACTCATTATCTTGTTATAACTTTTAAAAAAGGGTTATGAGTGATAAAACAGTGTTCAGATTTATTTAATGAACTGGACTGCTAAGGAACATACCATTCTTGTTTACATATACCTATTTGAAATGGACTAAACTTTGTGGGACAGTCCATTTTACAGTTAAATGTATCCACTTCAAAAATAGACTTTACTTTTATGGAATATTCCATGATCATGCCAAAATAATTTTACCTTTTTAAAAAATGAACTGCTTATGTTATTAGGAAAAGTAAAAATATACTATACAATGACAACTACTAGTTAAGTGTTCTCCCCAGGATTTTTTGATAGCACTGTAGTAAGCGTGTCAATCATCTTTTGTGCTGCAACATGAAACAATTGTACTGCAATGTTTTATATACTTAAATAAATCAAATTTGAAAAAGAACTGTATTATACATATGCATAAACAGAAATGGAAATAACTTACATTTTAATTTTATTTAGTATCAAAAATTAAAATGATAAATAATTGAAATATATGTGTAAATCTTTTTATTTGATTACAACTCTCCCATTTTTTTTTAAAGAGTAAGTATGTAGCACAGTAGGTATATCTATTTACACTTTTAAGAGTTTATTTTACAACTCAATAAATTACTGGCACATATGAAGGACTAATATGGCCAACCTTTATTTTTTTTTGCAATTTTGAAAAAAAATAGATTACAATTTACATGTATGATGGGTAAATTAATTTGTATCAAAGGGAAAAAAATGCTTAGCCTTTCCATAATAAGTATTTCAATGTTGTTAAAGACGTTTAAATAAAAGCTATAAATATATTCCAAGTTTCATCTAAACCCTATTTCTAATAGCAAGGTTGCTTTTCCATTAAGAATGCTTTTTGCCAATTGAAACAAAAAACAAATTGTAAAGCTTATGTGTGATCAAGTAAGGAAAATACAACAGTTTTGGAAGTCTTGATGACTACTTTTTTCCAACTCAAAATCTTATTTGTTATTCCAGAGAAAGCACACAGACCTATCTTTTTATTCCGTAATTTCATGTATTATAATCAATCTTCATTTTAAAAAAAAAACATCATTTATCAAGATATTATATATACATCTTTAAATATTCTATATTTGTGCATTGTTTTAAAGTTTTAAGTTTAGTGTTTTGTGGAGTGTTCATTTTTAACATTTTACTTTTGGCTGTGGTGTTTGTATTTTATTTGACTATCAATGGTTTTTGAAGTACCCAATTATCTGGTCTTTATTGTTCAAATTACCTCATCAACATTTGAAATAGCCCTTTTTCTGCTTTTCTTTGGTTCATTTTCCTGGCAGGGATGAACAACAGCTGATTCCACCTGAAGATAAAAGAAATTTGCCAAAAAATTATCAATAGCGAGGAAACAAACTAATTCACCGAAATAACTCAGTCTGTAGAGATTAACATTAAGGCTACTTTGCTTGCAAACAAATTCTTAATTAGTCATGTGAGATGGTCACCATGAGAGCCACCTTCCCATTGGTTTCAGTCAGTCTCCTGACCAAATATGGATTGACGTCCGAGAGGCAGACGAGCCCCAGCTGTAATCCAACACCACATTGGCATGTTGTGGAATTACAATTAATCAGTACCCTATAGGATGCATATGTCCAATAGTATTTTTATTTGGATTAATAATATATTTAACTAAATACCCCCTGTTTCATAAAAACATACTTGGGACCAACGGAGGGCACTATTAAATCTCATCTATAGATGAGTACTGTTACATATAGTGAAAATGTAAGCAAAATTCTAAAATTGACTCTGTAGATGGGTACTTCATTTTCAAAGTGCCTTTCGTGTATGTTTTAACAGAACAGTTTTTATTCACAATACTTTTAAATTATATGTAAAGCCTTAATCCCTAATTTTTCAACAACAAAAAACTGTTCAATAAATAAATGAGTGTTATATTCATATACTGTTTATCAGCTAAGGACTGTGTCAGAGGTTTGGGGTTTGCCTAAATAATGGAAATTTGTGACAATCAATTTCAAACTTGATCAACAAAAGACTTGAAAATTGGTATTTGCTGCTTCTTGGTAAAGCATGTATAGTAAGAATTTGGAACAATGACTGGTTGACTCAAAAACCTGAAAAATTTGTTTCAGTGGACCAGTTAAATTAAAAAAGAATTTGCCAACTGTTATATAAAAAGTTTCTTTTGAATACAACATGTTTACATTTTCTGTTTAAAGAATGAAATAGGAAAGTTCTGTTAAATAAATTTGTGTAAAAAATTTTAGGTCAAAATAGTACAAAAATGTATATTGAAGTGATTTTACATTCAAGTGTTTCAATTCTGTGTGGATTGTTTTGTTATGTATCAAAAGCACACAAAACTCTGAACATTAATGTACCTCTATATTCTCCTTGGTTTCCTTTTGTTTTTTACCCCTTCTTCCCTTTTTCTTTGGTCTAGATAATTCAATATCTTCTGTCATGGCAGAAAGCTGTTCTATCTGAAAGTTTTAATTTTTCAATTCAACATTGTAAATCCTATTTCATTTTTATCAAGTAGAAGGACCTATTAAAGATGTCAATGAAAGTGTAACTGGGTCAAAAACATTTTTTTTGCGTTTGCAGGTTCAGATAATATCCTCAGTGATTTTCATTTTCATACTTTAATTAACCCATAACTGACAGATTTGTTAAATTCAAATACTATGGATATGTTTTTACAACATATTAAATCTATAATATAGCCAGTAACTTTAAATATTTTTTTGTTCCTTCTTGCTCTCAGTGTCTCAAAGTAGTTTTGGTTATCCAAAACTTGTTTCTTCAGTTGCTTATTGTGAAACTAGTTAAATCTATATCCATTATTTTATCTACAATGCTCAGTCTTTTTTTTTTAAAGAAAATTACAAATGAAGAAACAAAATATTTTCTGCATTATGAAAAGCATGTTAAATAAACATGTAAAATGTCTCGAGGATGATTTTCAATTGCTAGTACTATTAAAGTTCTGCATCACCACTGAGGAACCTAATCTTTTCAACCATGCATTAAACCTTCTAAGGGCTGTTCCAAAATTGACAGTGGGGCAGATGGGAGGCACTCAAATTAGTTAAATATATGTGGTTGCATTTTCCTTAGAATTTTGTAAGAATCATAAATAAAACGAAATAGTAGCCTTGGGTCTAAAAAAGTGCCTCCCATGCATTTAATTCTGGAACAGGCCTAAGTACATATTCGTGTATATAGAATCATTCTGTGAAGTTTCAGGAATCTGGGTTGATATTTGTGAGATTTGAAAACACAAAATCTGAATCCTGTTTATTTGCTGAAAATTGGGGTAACTTTTAAACTATTTCATCAATAGCAAGTGCACAAGTTTTATATGCGAGTATCCTTTCTGTAAAGTTTCAAGGATGTGATTTGAAAACTGTAGGAGTCAATTAAAATAGATGCCTGCTTTTTCCAGCAAGAAGTCATCACTATACATGTACTATAAACAGGTCTACTGCAACCCGACCAAAAAGTAACTTTTTACAAGTTAAATATACCTCAACCAGACAAAATGTATTCAGAATGGAATATTTTTATATAAACTACGGTTCAAACCAGACTTTTAAGTGCCAATCTGCCTAACAATTAGGCAGTGATGAAAAAATGACAAAAACCCACTCCAGTTTACATTAATTTCAGTTCCTTATATGTAGTAATGCTTGAAAATAACATTTATTTCCTTTTCCTGTTCTGGTAATAGAAGATATAATTTGGTTCAAATGCACTGGAAATTAACATTTTAGGGGAGATAACTCCGTAATCTGCTATCATTTTAACCAACACTTATCTTGAGTTATTTAGAATTACCAGACATACAGAAATGAAAGACGCACCATTTTTAACTCAGGATGATGGTAACTTCAAAAAAGCATGATTAGGTTGGCTTTTTTTTTCTGACCATGTTTTAATTTTTATTCAAATTGTCTGATTCTTACAAAGACTTTGTATTTTTATTACTAAAACTGTCAACAAAAGTCTACATACAGATTTGTTTATATCTTTCTTCTGCAGAGGCTTTTTAAATTCTCCATCATCTTCAGTCTGAAAAACATGAATAAAGTTTCTTCATAGTGATATTTGAACTGATTATATATCAATGATTTTCTGTAAAATATATGGCATCTACAATGAAGAAATACACTTTACATTTGAACTTAAACTATGTATTGACAGTGACATAGAGTTCTCAAAAAGTGGAAGTTTTTGACCAACAAAATTTTGCAAAGGACTGACACAATTTTGGTATTTTGCAATAGAAATAATATTAAGGACCAACAGACTTTCTTCAAGGATATGAACAGGGAAAAAAAGATTTCATGAACTCTGATAGGGTATTATCAAAACAAAGAAGACCAAACAGATATATGCAGCAATTAAAGTATTAAGTTGGCACAGACAACAGATACTCCTTATCCCACTGTTGACAGAAAAGTGATATTAAATCTAACTCTAGTTGCATCAGTCATGCGCTCAACCACAGGCCCACCAGCCCAGTCTTGTAAAAATACTGTAGGGCCTGTAAAAATCATCTCTACAAGCCAATATAATCTATCTAAAATTTTCGTAAAATTCAGCTTTGGGCCTGTAGATTTAAAAGTTTATCGTGAAGACTGCTGCATATAATGGTGTGTATTGATGCTACAAAATTACAAGATCGTAGCAAATGTGTTTTTTTTTGTATGATGCAAACTTAAAATAAAGAAACATTATTATCAGGAAACCATTAACATTAATATTTTCAATGGTGCAAAACTTGATAGATGAATAATTGCAGCAACAGTGGCAATCAAACTGGACCTTGAATTCATGACAGGTAGAAATGCTTTCAAAATTTTAAGGGGTTACCCCAGATAAAATTTAACTTCTTTATGGACTGTTGTCTGTCTTTTGGACATGTCCTTTGTTTCCTACGTTTTATTGACACCTCAGTATCTTATTCTTTATCACCAGGAAACCCATCAGTTTAACGATGATTTAGAGACAATACAACAGCAACAAAATTGTGAATATTTAATATAACCATTGCAGGAAAGGGGGCATTGGAGGCATTTTTTTAGACCACAACCACCCATAATATAAAATTTTTATTTTTTACTTATAGTTCTAACAAAATTCTATGGTAAATACAACCACCCACAGTTAATTAATTTGAGTGCCTCCCATCCCCAACACAATCATTCTGGAACAGCCCTGATTGCATTATAGCCCTCACTCCTACAGTCAGGGTATTAAAAAAAGTAAAAGACAGAACTTTAATTGAGATGTCATAAAAAAACATTTTTTTTATTAAATATATCATTAATACATCTCAAAACAAGAAATTGATTTGTTAAAATATTTTCAAATATAGTTCAGTTTAAAGTGATACAATGTTTCCTAGATATCTACACTGTTTGGATTTCCAATATTTTGTTTTGAACACTCTTAGATTTCAAATTATGCATCTAGTACTTCATATCAGATTTTAGATCATATAAAAATTTCTTATGTCATCTCTATCAACCATGATTTGATGGGCAGCTGTTTATAAAGGGCACTGCTGTATCTTATCTTGAGCATCTTTCATAGACAGGTTTGACTGTATAGACAGTTTACCTCTTCATTCATATTTGTGTCAATTGTAGGTTTCTCTGTTGTCTTTTTTGTTAGATATTTCTTGAAACCATCTATTTTCACTTTCTCCTTGTCAACAATTTTTCCAAGCCTAAAAGTTTAAAATTTATTAGAAAGTATTGAAAACACTTCTTTCTGTAGAAACCTAATAACATGAAATCATATAACATTGTAACAATAAAAACCTAAGTAATAAAAATTAATGATGATTTTAATAGTTTATATAAAACTTAATCACTGATATGTTAGTTTAAACAGTATTTATTAATGAAAAATTATAACAATGAAAAAGTACAATTTTACATAGAATTCAAATATAGGATTCAGAAACAATTAAGGAAAAACTTTTATAAATCCGTCTCCCAATGATATGTTCACTGTATTTATTTCTGAAAGGATATCTTTTCTAGAAACCAAACTAGAGGCTCTAAAGAGCCTGTGTCGCTCACCTTGGTCTATGTGCATATTAAACAAAGGACACAGATGGATTCATGACAAAATTGTGTGATGGTGATGTGTTTGTAGATCTTACATTACTGAACATTCTTGCTGCTTACAATTATCTCTATCTATAATGAACTTGGCCCAGTAGTTACAGTGGAAAATATTTTGTAAAAATTTACAAAAATTTACAAAATTTATGAAAATTGTAAAAAATTGACTATAAAAGGCAATAACTCCTTAAGGGGTCAATTGACAATTTTGGTCATGCTGACTTATTTGTAGATCTTACTTTGCTGTACATTATTGCTGTTTACAGTTTATCTCTACCTATAATAATATTCAAGATAATAACCAAAAGCTGCAAAATTTTCTTAAAATTACCAATTCAGGGGCAGCAACCCAACAACGTGTTGCCTGATTGGTCTAAAAATTTCAGGGCAGATAGATCTTGACATAATGAACAATTTTATCCTCATCAGATTTGCTCTAAATGCTTTGGTTTCAAAAACTGCATTTTACCCTATGTACTATTTTTTAGCCATGTCGGCCATCTTGGTTCGCGGGTGGGGTCATCGGACACATTTTTTAAACTAGATACCCTAATGATGATTGTGGACAAGTTTGGTTAAATTTGTATTAGTAGTTTCAGAGGAGAAGATTTTTGTAAAAGATTACAAAAATTTACAAAAATTGTTAAAAATTGACTATAAAGGGCAATAACTCCTTAAGGGGTCAACTGACCATTTTGGTCAAGTAAACTTATTTGTAGATCTTACTTTGCTGAACATTATTGCTGTTTACAGTTTATCTCTATCTATTATCATATTCAAGATAATAACCAAAAACGGCAAAATTTCCTTAAAATTACCAATTCAGGTGCAGCAACCCAACAACGGGTTGTTCAGATAGATCTTGACCTGATGAACAATTTTACCCTATGTCAGATTTGCTCTAAATGCTTTGGTTTCAGAGATATAAGCCAAAATCTACATTTTACCCCTATGTTCTATTTTTAGCCATGGCGGCCATCTTGATTAATTGGCCGGGTCACCGGACACATTTTTTAAACTAGATACCCCAATGATGATTGTGGCCAAGTTTGGTTAAATTTGGCTAAGTAGTTTCAGAGGAGAAGATTTTTGTAAAAGTTAACGGACGACGGCGGATGACGGACGCCAAGTGATGAGAAAAGCTCACTTGGCCCTTTGGGCCAGGTGAGCTAAAAATGACCTACATTCAGAATTCTCTCTTTTTTAAATACTTTAAAATCTGTATACAATTTAACCTATGAAAGAATAAAAAAAAAATTCAGGGTGCTTGTTCTCAAAGATTAATCTTTCTATTCATAATGCCTTGGTTTAACTCGCTACTGTTCTTTTAAATACTATTTCTTGTCCAAAGTATTGACTGATTATTATTTGCTCACCATAAAGAAACATATATTTTATGCATATTCAAGATGAGAACAAATCATTTTTGGTGAGGAAATGCAAGTAAAAGGTAGAGAATTTGAAATGCTACTGAAAAAGATGTTTTGCTGCTTAGTAACAGAAGCTGTACTCTGCATAAGTCACTTATAGCCCTATTGAATTATCTAAAGGTTCTTTTATATGCAAAGTATGGCACTAGTACTTTCCCTACATGGAGCACAGAGTTATTGACCCAATTCTGACAGAACTTTTCTGTGTATTTATTCTTCCTATATGGCTTTTCAGCAAAGAGATATACAGGCTGATATCTAGTTCAAATTAAACCAAATTAGAGGCTCTAAAGAGCCTGTGTCGCTCACCTAGGTCTATGTGCATCTTCAACAATGGACACTCTCCATCTTTGTGGACTAGAATAGAATTCATGACAAAAATCTCTTCTTTGCTGATCTAGTCTTGCTGATCATTTTTGCTTATTTAAGTTTAGATCTATCTAATATAGTTTTTCAGATAGTAGGCAAAAACATAAAACAATGATAAAAATTGTTATTAAAGAGAACAACTCCAATAAGGGGACATAAGTCAATTTCAACTATTTTGACTTATTTGTAGATCCTGTCTTGCTTATCATTTTTGCTTATTTAAGTTTCTATCTATCTATTACAGTTTTTCAGATATTAGGCAAAAGCACAAAAATTTAGTAAAAATTCTCATTAAAGGGCAATAACTCTAATAAGGGGTCGTCACACGATTTCAATCATGTTGACTTATTTGTAGATCTTGTCTTGCTGATCATTTTTGCTATTTAAAGTTTCTCTCTATTTCTATCTATTTTTCAAGATAATAGGCAATAAAATGCTCCGCTGGGTGAGCTTGATACGACCGTAGAGGTCGAACCCTGAACAGTTGGGGCAAGTATGGACACAACATTCAAGCTTGATACAGCACTGAATTTGGATTGTGATTAAATATTTGACACAGCATAGGTTTCTGACACAGAATGAATGTGGTCTAAGAACTTAAAAATTTTTAATTTACCTATTCAAACCATAGCATTATTATTTGCTTTTATATATAAATCAGAAATAACCAATTTAAAATGGAAAATTTTAAAGAAAAAAAAAGGGAAAAAAAATCCCTCCCCCAAATTTTTTGAACCCCCTTATGATTCATCACACCCAAACTCAATCCCAGCCTTCACTTTGTGGTATGGTACCTTGCAGTACAATTTCAGAGAGATCCATACACTTGAACACAAGTTATTGTCTGGAAACTAGAAAAATGCTTGTTTTTAGGCCCCAAATTCTTAAACGTTTAAGGCAATTACCCCCAAACTCAAACCCAGCTTTCCCTTTGTGATATGGAACCTTGTAGTTCAATTTCATAAAGATCCATACACTTACACACAAGTTATTGTCATGAAACTAGAAAAATGCTTGTTTTTTTCCCCTTTTTGGCCCCTAATTCCTAAAATTTTGAGGCAATTACCCCCAAAATCAATCCCAGCCTTCCCTTTGTGGTATGGTACCTTGCAGTACAATTTCAGAGAGATCCATACACTTGAACACAAGTTATTGTCTGGAAACTAGAAAAATGCTTATTTTTGGCCCCTTTTTGACCCCTTATTCCTAAACGTTTTGGGCGATTACCCCCAAACTCAATTCAAGCTTTCCCTTTGGAATATGGAACCTTGTAGTACAATTTCAGAAAGATCCATACACTTACACACAAGTTATTGTCATGAAACTAGAAAAATGCTTGTTTTTTGCCCCTTTTTTGGCCCCTAATTCCTAAAATTTTGAGGCAATTACCCCCAAAATCATCAGACATCATCGGATTCATCATCCCCAAACTCAATCCCAGCCTTCCCTTTGTGGTATGGAACCTTGCAGTACAATTTCAGAGAGATCCATACACTTGAACACAAGTTATTGTCTGGAAACTAGAAAAATGCTTGTTTATAGGCCCCAAATTCTTAAATGTTTAGGGCAATTACCCCCAAATCATACCTCATCTCCTTATTTTTATATTCAAGATAATTTTACCCTTATGTTCTATTTTTAGTCATGTCAGCCATCTTTGTAGGCAGGCGGGGTCATCATACACATTTTTTAAACTACATACCCTAATGATGATTGTGGTCAAGTTTGGTTAAATTTGAATCAGTAGGTTTCAGAGAAGATTTTTGTAAAAGTTAAAGACAACAACGACAGACAACAGACCCCAAGTGATGAGAAAATGTAGTTTTTTATCATAAGGTAAAAATGGCAAAGTTTGTATATTTGGATTGTTTCCATCTGTTCCTACTATGGGGCTAATAGATATTTGTAAACTTTTAAATAAGACAAATTTTCACAATACAGCTGATTTCACTAGGTGCAAAACTTCTGAATCATTAATATGACCAAATATTCTACTAAAATAATCCACAGAAAGACAAAAGATTGATCTTTTAAAAGCTCCTGGCAACAGTATTTTGGGGGGAAAAATCCAAAAATGGGTAATAATCTTATCCCAAAGAAAAACAATCGAGTGTGTTTGAGTTGACTGTTTTGTCCCTCAAAAGTATAAACCAATGATATTTGATACATCATCTTGCTTCAGATTTTTTTTAACATTAAGGCTACATGTTAAATATTCACAAAATTTGTAATGAGTCATAACAGCAGAGTAGGTATGTTTGAATAAAAAACAAAAAAACTTTGTGCTTAGTAACTACACATGTCTTAACTTTAAGGGAATTTCTTACTGCAATTTTTTATATTTTCATTCACTCATTTTTCAATTAAAATTATGGCCTATTATTTGATCGTGAAATATAATAAGAAAAAAAGTAAGATAACACACTGTTCACTATAGCTAACCCCAAAACATTATGCCATGTGATTAATTTTTCTCGTTTTTCAACAGCTAAATCGAAAGTGTGCAATCCTTTAATGAAGTAGAATTCTGTTTTTCCATATATCTTATATATATAATAATGAAAAGCCTCCCCCCCTATTTTTTTACACTTGTGAATTTAATATATTTCAAAATCTTCTTCACTGTGTAGAGTAGTAATATTACAAGGTATCATAAAATATAAAGAAAGAAAGAAATGTCAAAGATATAACATACTTCTTATTTTTTCCACTGCTCTTTATGAAACCTTCTTTTTCAAGTCTGTTCATTAGACCTTGAGCTACACTGACTTCTACACCAAGTCTTTTGGCCAAGTTTGGTGCTAAAACTCTGCTTAGTTCTGGTACAGCCGTTAAAGTTCTTCTCCATAAGCATGTGGCCTATAAATAAATAAAGGTAGAAAATTATCTCAGAAATAACTGAAACAGGTCCAATTCAATTTCTAAATAGTCTCATCAACAGCTTCTACGGCCATTGTAAACAGCCAATCATACATATAGCTGAGGCCCAGAATTCCAAACCCATGACCTAGGTTTTGAGGCTTCTAAATATTTTATGTATATGGCAACTTTCTGTTCGAATTCTATTCTAAAGTATAGCCAAATAGTGTAAGGCAGTATTTTTTACATCAGCAGGTTAAGTATTTGTGAGCTTGCTTTTACCAATAAGGCGCCCTCAATGACCCTATGGTTTAGTTGTTAATTATAGCTGTATTACAGATATAATCAACAACAAAATTTGAAACTGGAACCGATTGTAATGATAAATTTTCTCTGCACCTTGTGTTATCCATGGATCTAAAAAAGGGGAGGGTCCAGAATTCAAAAATTTATCCCTGACATATATCTATCTGATTGTAGAGTCAGGAACCTTGTCACTGGTTGTCTTCAGCCATATCTTAATGAGATTTGTCCTTTTGGAAATATGGCACTGATAGCAATTATGTGCCCTCTTTAACCCTACTGTTTTATGGAAATTTGGCATTCATGGCAGATCTCTGATAGGGGGTCTTAAACTCATTAATAACTTTTTTAGACATTGATATTGTTGAAGACAGTATATTGAAATTTCAAAGTCTTGATTTTTTGCATTGATTGGTATCGTCACATAAAACCAACATTTTATTTTCCATTCATTTGTGCTTTTAAGTATGAAGACTATTCTACATGCATGTCATACGTATGTAAATTGGTATCATATATTTAGACTGCTTGAGTATCAAACCTGAACAGCTATAGATGATAATCCACACAAATAAGGATCAGTTGGCTGTTTGTCTGGACTGTCAATCTAAATAATAAAAGAAGCAAATATTCAAAATTAGATATACATATGTCTTGAATTTATATCATTCATGTATACATCAATTTTAATCGATGATTCACATAGTATTATATAAGTTTGTCCATTTTGTATTCTTGTATAAGTGTTCCAGCTAGGTCGTTTTCACAGGGCGGTCCGCCCGCCCTTTCCCGAGTGCCGCCCTGTGCCCTTTTTACAGTTTGCAGGGCGCCCTGCCTTTTTTGAAGATTGATTGGTATGATCAGCCAATTACGAAAATTTACCTGGCGACAAGTATATGACTTTGTTTACGACCCCAAGCTAATCAACGGTTACAACAGGTGTCATAATCTGTTGTTATAGGTAATCCGTTTATCGGATGGGTCATTTAATGATCATCAACATTAATTCATTCAAATAGAATCGGTCAGTCGGCATTTGTTTTTGAACTTGCAGAAATGTTCATACAACTTGGGCACAATTAGCAATGTTTACCGTAGTTTCATGGAGAAAACGTAATTGACAGAAAGTCGAAAACCATAATTAACTCGTTAAAAACATTGCTCTTATTGTTTTCTGTGAAATAAATAGCAAATTAAGACGTATTTTTCATTGACTGCCTTCATTTTTTATATGAAAATAACAAAATCAGCCGCCATATTGTTGATCGTATTTACATCTTCTACGTACTGTTTATTATCCTCCAAAGAAGGAGCACACCCAAATAAAGAAAGATAACTCAATCTTATTTTTTCCTAGCATTGATTAACCTACTAAGATATTATAAAATATGTCTTCATACTTCTGGCTTTAGAATTTATATGTTTAGGTGTTTTGAGTCATGAGAAAAGTTAAAGAGGGTCTTAGTAGCAGGGTTGGTAGGGTGCCTTGGTCATCTTTTTCTGTATTTTTTATTTTCAATTCAAATTTTCACTGTTCACTATATCCTAACATTGTGCATTTACAGCTGTTTTGTGCTGTATTGCCATTAAGCACAGAAAAGGTAGAAAGGTGAAACTTGTAAAGTGTGTCAGACCATAGAAACAGAATGAAGCAGGATATTTTTCAAAAAATACTGCATATAAAGCTTAACTGTGCCAAGCAATGATTTTAAACTTGTGTGACAAGCTGCTTGTTAAGTTTTTAGCCTAAAAAGTAGAAAGATAGTTTTTCTCTGGGCTAATGATGTTGTTCTTGTATATATATAACCAGTGATTCAATGAAAAAACAATCTTTATTAAAACATGCCCTTTTCATATTATCATATCACACGTTAAATGCCCTTTTTCAGGATTGGCACCCTGCCCTTTTGAAATCCTAGCTGGAACACTGTATAAGGAATCTTTAACTCCATATTTCATTTTGGCTTTGGTTTCAATCACTGTTTTCATCAAAATTAAGCAGTGTTTACATTTTCTCCAACATGCAGCACCATGTTTCTTGTTGGACTTGTTGCTATTATCATAAAAAAAAACAGTTATTTTAATAATACATGTACAAAATTATTTCTTCTTGTGTTTGTTGAAACATTATTGTCAGTCTTTGAATTAAATCAGAAGGATGATGGCTGTTTCCAGAAAATCTGCAACAGGTTGTAAACAATTCTGTATTATGTATTTGACAGGATAGTGGATGTTATTGACCATTTTATTTTCAAATCTTTGTTTCAGAGGGAAATTAATAAAACAAATAAATGGAGAATGTGTCCCCATGGACACATATGATGCTCCCGTTTGCATACAACATTATTAAGGGACATAACTCAAGAACGATAAAAGTGACGCTACCCAAATTTGTACTTGATCTGAGTTTTGTGGTAATAAGTATTGTGTATAGGTTTCATAATGTTTGGTTGGGGCAAAATTAAGTTATAGGCAGAAACTAAAAATTTTGCAATTTTTCGATTTATAAAGGGGCATAACTCGATAATGGTTAAAGTAACACTACCCAAATTCAAGTGGATCTGTGTTTTGTGGTTATGCATTGTGTATAAGTTTCATAACATTTGGTAAAGTCAAACTTAAGTTAGAGAATGGAAACTAAATATTTTGCATTTTTTTCCATTCAAAAAATGCTTTTACAAGTCTTAACTAATTTTGAAACAAGCTATTGGCTTAGGATATTGGTTTGCAGAAAAACCTTATTAAACCTCCACTTTAGACTACTAAAAAGAAATTGAATTCCCTCCCTTTGTATATAGCATTTGAAAAAGTGTAGGAATCAATACACAGCTAGTACTGTATTAAATTCTATCAAATTAATTCTTCATGTAGAAGATGCTATATTCACTATAAATAATTTATCAGCAAATTAATTCTTCATGCAGAAGATGCTATATTCACTATAAATAATTTATCAATGGAAGGCAAAATTAAACATTGCATTGTATAAAGCATTGATTGTAGTTGATTCAACTATAATCATGGACAAAGGAAGATAACTCCAATTTTAAAAATAATTACTTGATTGATACTTTCAGAAAAAAATGAAAAATTTAGCATTTTTTCCATTTGTAAAGGGCATAACTCTAGAGCAGTAAAAGTGACAGCACCAAAATTCAAGCTTGATCTGTATATTTTGGTAATAAGCATTGTGTATAAGTTTCATAACATTTGGTTGAGGCAAACTGAAGTTATAGAATGGAAACAAAACATTTAGCAATTTTTCCATTTGTAAAGGGGCATAATTCTAGAACGGTAAAAGTGACGCCAACAAAATTCAAACGTGATCTGTATTTGATGGTAATAAGCATTGTGTATAAGTTTCATAACATTTGGTTGAGGCAAACTAAAGTTAGAGAACGGAAACCAACTTTGGGAAGTACGTACGGAAGGGGGGCATAAAAATGCTACAGACCTCAGAACACACATCACAGAAATGAGCTTGAGGTGCTTCATCTTCATCTTTGATCAAGAAACAGATACCATGCTGCCAATATTTACACACAGCACATAGAACCATCAGTCCATCATCCTATATAAATAAAGGTATATGTTGTTAGCTAAATTCAGGCTAAATTGCCAATGCCTAGCAATTTCAAGTTGGCACCTTATACTAATGCCTTATAGCCCCCTACAGCTCCCTAGTGTATAAATATCAAATATATGTAACTCAAATGTTCAATTTTCCTCCTGTGTGTATGGAACACTGTTTTCAGCTAATAATCTAGATTCAAAAGCACTTAAAGCTTATCCAATGTGACTTGTACTTCAACAAAATCAGAAAATTACTTGAAGCAGTTGATTTTTTTGAAACAAGGAATATGTGTTTTATCTACTATATAATCAATTAATTTTCTACATATTTTTCACTTTCATTTTGAGACAACTCTTTATAATTATGCAATTCACATATTTAGACAACTTAACTTCTCTAATGTGTTATACTAAAATATTATAAGCTTATCTTAAAAACTTTTACTGATAATGTCAGAGCTATTTTTATGGCCAATTGTAAAGCAAAATATTGTCCTATGAAATATTGTCCCCTAAGACAATATTTCATGACTATGCATCATGAAACATTGTCCTCATCTATGAAAAAATGTCCAGAGAAGGACAAATTTTCATTGTGAAATTGTGTCTGTATATAGACAATATTTCACAGATGAATATTATGAAATTTTGTCCTGTTAAAGGGAGGTTATATTTTGTGTGTATTGAGACAATATTTCAAAGACAGATTGTCATGAAATTTTGTCTCATGAAGGAGAGGTTATCAACATATATCATGTTGGATAATGATATTTTATTTGACTGATAATAAAAAATAAACACAAATTATTATTCCAGTAACACTGTACTCCTGCATCTCCATAATGCCTTTGCAAAAAGATTCACCAATCTAGTATTTCCTAATACTATTAGTACATTCAATTTTGAACATACATAAGTGATTGTCAGAACATTACTTATATTTATACAGTATAATGTAATACAATGGAACATACGTTAGACAATTCTTTAATCTATAATTAACTTTTTATAAAGTATCTATGTAAATTTGAAACTAGCTTATATATAAATTATGTTAAAATAAATATTAGTTTGAAATATAAAATACTTACTTTACAAAATAATTTCAGTTATAAATCTTAAGAAATATTTTCATGGACAGAATTTCACAGTGAAATAATGTCATAATAGACAGTATTTCATAGTGAAATATTGTCATGGACACAATTTCATAGTGAACAAGAAATGATTGTAACAGGATGCTGTTACGAAGTCTCCCAAAGGAAGCTCCAATAATTCGTAATTCCCAGGGTCGCCTGACATTGGGCAACGTCCAGTGAAAATTGGTTTGGTCCAGTAAATATATATATACAGTTATATGCATTAGTGATGCCTGGGGACTAACCTTGTAAATCATTCAAATCATCTTGGCATGACAAACCAGAATATATATGGTTTAGGGATGGGGATCTCGAACATTTACAAGATACTAGAACATTGGGGGTGGGGGGAACCCCTGGGGACTGACCCTATACGTTACTGTAAATTCAGAAATTATTGCGTGCATTTATTATTGCGATTTTGTCATTTTAGACTAAAATGCGATTTTAATTTTTGCGATATTGAGAAAAATCCTGTTTAATTCATACAAAAAAATTCAAAATGCGAGTTTAAATTATTGCGATATAACCCTGTCGCATTTTGCGCAATAATAAAAACATCGCAATAATTTCTGAATTTACAGTATTCAAATGTTCGTTACATGACGAACAGGAATATATAAGGTTTAGAGGTGGGGATCTCAACCATTTACAAGATATTAGAACATTGGGGGTGGGAATAACCCCTGGGGACTGACCGTATACGTCATTCAAATGTTCGAGACATGACAAATAGGAATATATATGGTTTAGGGGTGGGGATCTCAACCATTTACAAGATATTAGAACTTTCTCAAATGGCAGGGGGTTGGGATGACCCCTGGGGACTAACCCTGTATATCATTCAAACCATCTTCGCATGACAAACCAGAATATATATGGTTTAGGGGTGGGGATCTTGACCACTTACAAGATATTAGAACTTTCTCAAATGGCAGGGGGTCGGGATGACCCCTGGGGACTTACCCTGTATATCATTCAAACCATCTTAGCATGACAAACCAGAATATATATGGTTTAGGGGTGGGGATCTTGACTACTTAGAAGATATTAGACATTTCTTAAATGGCATGGGTTGGGGTGACCCCTGAGGACTAACCCTGTATTGCATTTGATGTGCTTTATCATGACAAACCAGAATATATATGGTTTAGGGGGTGGGGATCTCGACCATTTACAAGATATTAGAACTTTCTCAAATGGCAGGGGGTCAGGATGACCCCTGGGAACTAACCCTGTATATCATTCCAACCATCTTAGCATGACAAACCAGAATATATATGGTTTAGGGGTGGGGATCTTGACCACTTACAAGGTATTAAAACTTTCTTAAATAGCAGGGGGTGGGGGGACCCCTGGGGATTAACCCTGTATTTCATTTAATGGGCTTTATCATTTAGAACATTTTCAATTAAAAAGATTGTGTCTATCACAAACGGTTTTCAATTTATAATCATTTGAAAATTTTAAAAAATAAAATCCCATAGGGTTCTATAGTAAAACCCTCTTTTCTTTTTGCCCCTCAAAGTACCCCTTTATAAACCCCATTGCACAAACAAAACCCTGATTGCACCACTAGACATGTTAGTCTAACATATTGTGAAACCCTAAGTTAATCTGACAAGCAGTTTTGGAGAATGGGTGCAGACAAGTTCAAATTTAAAAGTGGCGGAAGAGGAAGAAGAAGAAGAAGAAGAATAACTAGATTTGCCATTGCCACTAAGCGGCAGCCATTTTAAAACATTTTAAACAGTGAATGCAAATAAATATATTGCTATACATCTTTCTACAAATTTTCAGAACATTTAGAGCATTTGGAAATTTTTGACATTTTTTCTGTTTCCATGGCAACAGGAGCCATTTTGAAAATTCCAATGTCAAAAGAGTCATCTTAACTTGACTGTTAACATTAATATCAAGATTCAGTAAATTTGAAGCATTTTGAAGTTTTTAGACATTTTTGAATTTGTGCCGTTTCCAAAATTTCAAAGATGGATGCCATATTGGCACATGACAGGGAACATTCCATGAAAGAATCAAGGTATTTGACCTCCCATGTTAAGTGAGTAAATGCTACTTAAAGAATTTTCCCATAGGGTCCAAAGTTAAAACTTTGTCTCGGGTTTTCATGGCAACGGCGGCCATTTTTGAAATTCCAAAGTCAAATGCCACATATACATCTGCCAACTAACATTTCTGTAAAGTTTCATTAAGTTTGAAACACTTTCCTATTTTTTGCATTTGTGCTGTTTCCATGGTAACGGTGGCCATTTTAAAAATTCCGAAGACGTCCTGCACAACTTTAGATGGTGGGCCTCATTATGTTAACCATTCAATAGAATTGGTCCACTAAACTCCCAGAAACGCTTCGGACAAAATAGGTGGAAGAAAAATAATAATAAAAAGAAACGGAGGAAAAGCAATATGTCACCCGACATTGTCGATCGGGTGACATAATAATAATAATAATAACTGAGCAAAAACCAATAAGTCTTTTCAAACTTCGTTTGGGAGACTTAAATATTGTCCAGGAGGAGGTGCCAAATTTCACGGACAAGGACACTATTTTGAAATATTGTCCTGGATTGTATTTCATTATGAAATAGTGTCCACGGACAATATTTTATATGAAATTTTGTCCGACGGACAATATTTCATGGGGGACAATATTTTATATTACACAATAGAGTGTTTAACAAAAAAATCAGAACATTGTCAACAATAATATTAATTTCCTTCTTTCCAAAGCAATCATAACATTCATATTTTACTTTAGTATGTGTTATTTCTTTAAATTGTGTTATTTGGCTACAATTTAAGATGACATTACTTATTTCATCATCACAGTCACATATCTCCAGAGTATATCATCAGAGATATAATTGTTGTCAAATAATTTTACCTCATTCACACCACAGGGACATCTAACCCCCAAATCAGGAATTTCTGATTCTTGACTTCTCTGAGATCCAGTGGTATCTACGGCCATTTCATCTGAACCTAAAAAAAAGACTTTCATCATCAGTCAATATTTTGTAAATATGAATCAGTCATGAACAGATCCATTTCTAGTAAAAGGACAATTACGACAAGAGTATATATCCACAGGACACCATGCCCCCTTTACACTTTTCATTTACCTTGTTCAGGGAACAATGAAAAAGGGGAACACTAATTTGGCATTTAATTTTAAAAGTTTACATCATAATGAAGATGTGTACTGAGCTTAAAGTTGATCGGACAACAACTTTAACACGAGATGTATTGGTTTAGCTCTATCACATCTCAATATTCAGTGATGCCAAAAATTGGGGTCATAACATTAATTTAGCGTTAAATTTAGATAATGTATATCATAATGAGCATGTGTACTAAGTTATAAACAACCTTGACCAATAACTTTAGCCTGATACAGAATGAACACCCAAACCAGAAAAAAAAATGCCCTCTACTATCGTAGTTAGGCATAAATATGAAATAGAAGTATAGTTGTACAAAATTCAGAACTTAATTATTGGTAAATACAATCTTTTTTAGATGAATTTCAATGAAAAAGATACCTGGGATTTCAGGACTTTCTGATGGTACAACTGCCTCAAGTGATTTACCATTCTCTGTTGATCTTTGAGGTTTCTCCATTTCTGTCAGATCATCTTTGAACTGGTATACCTCTTCATCTGGTTGCTGTTTAAAAACAAATTAACACTAAACAGTGAAAAAATAAGTACCTCTGTCAATCAACCAACAGGCCTCGACAATAACGCTTGTCCGATTGTCCGGTACCAGAGGAAAAAAAGGTCGGACAAGTAAAAGCTATATCAAGCTTGTCCGACGGGACAAGTAAAATTATTCTGCAGAAAATAAATTTAATCCAACTTTGATGAACAAAGTTATTATAAACAAAAAACAAGAAAAGAAGATAAAAACAAGTATTAATTTTGACATGTTTACTTGCAAACCGATAATTTTAAACTGGTTCTATGTCAGGTACTTTTTAATAGGTAAAAGGCTAACCCGAATAATTCAGTCGTTATATTCCGCTGATCTACGATTACTCCTCGCAAGTAGGAGAGATCGATTACGGGGAGGGACTGAATTATTCGGGTTAGTAAAGGCATACTATTCTCGGAAACCAGTTTTACTGATCCGAATCAGCGATGCGCTTTGTAGAAAAGGTAACTTTACAAGACAGTTCGTCACCAGCTCGGAAACGATTCGGCTCCCAAGTTTAATAGACAGTTTGGCACCGTAGGAGACATATTTAATAGACATGATTAATAGACAGTTTGGCAACGCAGGAGACATTTCGGGACCAAGACAAATCAGTACCTCGTTTTCCTACCTTATTCTGTTGCTTTATAATAAATACCATACCGGTAATTTTTTTAACAAAAATATTTTTTAAATAAAAATGAAGAAATTATTTACCATAAAATTCACAAAATCATATTTGATCATATGTAGAAAGAAACAATACTTGCAATACGGTGACCTATAGTTGTTAATTTCTGTGTCATTTGGTCTCTTGCAGAGAGTTGTCTCATTGGCAATCATACATCATCTTCTTTTTTTTATTGATTGCATTTGAATAATATTTTTTCAACTTAAACAACCAGGATACAAATCCAATGAGTGTACATTGACAAGCCTATCAGACGGTGCCTCAAGTGCAGAGTCTGATGAGACTTTGGCATTGATGTAAACTAGAACCTAAGCCCTGTGACATGACTAGATTCAGTTGTTCTCGACTCATATTTTTGAAAAGTATTTCAAAAGATATAAATCAAATTCTGTTCTATTGTTTTAATTCATTTTTGTTCCTTGAATCAACTTAAAATGCAAAAAAGGTTATTATTAAGATTTTTTTTGGACAAGTTACAATATCATTCGGACAAGTAAGTTTTGGGTTGTACTTGTCCTACTGGACAAGTTGAAAAAAAAGTTATTGTAGAGGCCTGACCAATCTAATTTTGTGTTTTCAATTTGACAAAACGTAGGCAGTTTGCTAAATGTTGCAGATTCTAAACAGTTTTCTACAATAAATTGGTCGACTTAATGATGTCTTTTTCTATCCAAGCTCTACATTTCATACAGACAACCATAGAAATAATAGCTATAGATAAAGTACTGGACCCACATCAAAAGCAGTTGATATTTGCCGAAATTTTATCACCCTCTTATTATACACATCTTATTATATACATGTCACGCTTGGGGTTAATTAGCCTTCGTTGGCAATTGCCGTCGATCGATATCTAATAAATTGTGAATCGGGAGACTTTTAAACACACAAATGTGCTACGTAATGACTTTTAACCATATTAAAATTCGACTTTTTATTTAATGTATTCAGTGTGTCCACTACATACGTTTTCTTCACCAAACGGCGTTTAATTAGTTTATAATGTATTCCTTTTTTTCTCTTCATTTTCTAAAACTTCGTGTTACGACAGAAAGTTTCAACACTTGTAAAAATCTTTTTTCTTTTCTAAAAAAATAATAATTTCTTCTTTCTGGCATAAAATATGATTACACTATTTTGAATCTCGATAAAAAAGAAATTTATTTAACTCGCCATAGAAAAATTCGACCAGGTTCGACCTCTTAACCACGTATACCATCAGTAAACGATATGTCTCCTCTTGTCAATCATACAGGTCTTATTTCCCCGAGTGCAACCGATGCAAGTGCTATGACAATTTAATTTTGCATGCCTGTTAAGTCCATTTTCCATGATTTCTCTATTTCATTATTTCAACAACAGCATAACCTTTTCATTTGTTGACCGATTTTCTCCAAATAAATTACAACCCGAACAACTTTTACAACCAGACGCTTTTTATTGCTTCCGCGTCATGGCATATTATTACTTGAGACAGGTAACGCATATTAATTATCGGTTGATAAGACGAGTGCCCGATAATTTAAATATAATTATGATAAGTAATTAGTCTATTTGGAGGATGTCGGCAAATATCATCTACATCATAGGCCACTACGCGCAGTGCCGTGCTTTTGATATTTCAAAGGAAACTACATGGGGCTCAGTGTGACAAATTCTGAGTACTTTATATATGACTATTATATCTATGAGACAACAGACACCAAGTGATGAGAAAAACTCACATAACCTTTTAGGTTAGGTGAGCTAAAAGGACTTATTAGAACCATGATTGTTTTGGAAACCCTAATATGGGTGCAGGATTCAAAAAATGTATCAAACAAAAAAATTGGAACTGTATCTTACAGTGGATTCATCATTATTTGTGGGACACCAACTTTCATGGATTTCGTGGGTACAGGTGAACCCAAATTTAAAGGTTGAACAAAGTATTAATTTTCTATAGGCTTGTATACAGACTTTGGTAAATACCACGAAATAAAATATCCATGTAAACACAATTTTATCTCAATCCACGAAAATTTGTACCAAGGAAAATAAATTAATCCACAGTATATCAAACTACATTAAATGGCAAGAGTATTGTTAAAGCCTTTATATTCATAACAGTTTTATTTAACATTCTTTATACAGATGGCTAAGATTATGCATTTAAATATCACAACTAGAATAATTGGAATTCACCAAAATATATATTTCTCCATTTTTAAATGGCATTTGTCAAATCAAAAATCTTATTTGTATAAAATTTTCTTATCCTGCACAAATATTCCATTTAAACATGATACAGTTCTATCAAAGGAAACAAAGAAAATTGTTCAATATCTGGTTAACCAACAAAAGAAACTGATCAAAATACAAAAAGAGACAGTAAAATGTCTTGTTAATCAACAAAAGTGATAGACCACATAATTACCTATGAAGAGTCATACGGTGTAATTTCAAAAGTTCATAAAGCAAACCTGTGTTTCATCATCCATAATGTCATCCTGTACATTGACTGTTGTGATTTCTGGTTCTGTTGTTTCTTCCTTGTTTCCATCAACATCTTCATCCTTCATCTCAAACTGTGATTTATCAGTCTTGATTCTCATTTTAATACTTAAGAAACAGATAACCACCATATTAATACATGGAATATAAGAAGTTCTTTTGACAAAACAAATTTTATCATTAAAAAAAAATTGTAAGTTATGCTGACATGTTAATAAAAAATCTCTCCCAAAAAAATAAAAATAAATTTATGTTCTTAAACTTTTTTTTTCTTTCTGTAGTGCATGAAAATAGAATTTATACATGGTTTGAATCACTGGTAATACACACTGTGTTTAAGTATAAAGTGTTAAGTGAGAATCTAAGACCTAAAGCAATACTAAAAAATTTAAGTTTTAGGAAGCTATCTTATGTATATTAATAATCCATATAACTTTCACTTAAAGTTCCAGTCTTTCCATTACTAAAACAATCAAAACAAAAAAGAAAACATACTTTATATGGTTTTGCAAATTGTTGAAGGCTGTACGGTAATTTAAAGTTTGTAACATCTACGTCATTTGGTCTCTAGTAGATAGTTGTCTCATTGGCAATCATACCACATCTCCTGATTTTATATTCACATTTTTCAAATATATGTGTTGCATCTGTCTCCCTTTGTTGATTTTCTACAATATACTACAAAATACCTTCCAACCTAAACCTACCCTACATCTTTTTCATAAAATAGTTCTTAACATAAAAAGGCTACTTGTATCTAAACTGCTTTTATAGTTTAAACAAGCTTAATCTACATCAATAAAAACAGTTTCATATAAGTTCAAACTCCAAACTTACTAAAAAGAAAACTGTGATTAAAAGACCTTCACCATTTTCTAATGAAAACAATGTGGTCTTATCAAAGGTATGAAAAAAACTAAGAACATGAACAGAATAACTGTCACTTACGTGTGAAATGGCTGTAATAATAAATTTATATGCATTTACAGAAAACAAAACATTTAGACATCAAAAGAAACTATCTACAACAGTGTTCAATGATCGAAAAATTATAAAACAACATAAACTCAACCATATATCCCGAAGCCATGTGCATTTATAACTGTTTACCTTCCCAAAAAAGCATTTTGACGACAGATTATAATAGATTAAAAATGCTAGTTATCTATCTTTCATTTTTCTAAAAGACAAATCTTACTATCTAGACTTAAGGCCTAAAAGAACCACTAGAATTTTTCATATAGAGTGATCGAACATTAAAATGTTCAGTCAATAGTAATATTACCGTCTGTAGGTGTGTATAGTACACGGATTTTTACACTGGGATAGATTTCTGGGATGCGTATTATGCATGCATACATTGACTTTTAGACTTTTTTTCAGGGGCGAAACTCGGCCATGAAACCAGGTGGTCAGGAAGAAAATATTTTCGTAGCAAAACAAAGTGATTGTTGTTATGTTTTAAATGTATATTTGTACTTTCTAGTATATGATTTGAAATGTTATATTCAAATAAAAATCATTTAAATGCTTTAGTTATTATGTTTTTGCGTTTTCTTGTGTCTGTTCTTTGTATGTTGCCTACCGGAAGTTGTATTTGGTCATATCCGAATTAGAGATGATTCTGTCAATGGCCTAATAAGTGTAGGTGATTCTTGAGTTTATAACTTACTTTTGATATGTTCTAACAAGGAATACAGAAGGTGAATGTATGAAAATTGAACTAAACATGTCCGTTTGATGATAGTGACCGCCATTGTTTTTTACTTTCGTAGTATCAGGTGATCACGTCATGTGACTTTATCTTTATGAAGTTGTATCAAGTGATGATTTTATACGTTTTTACTTTGTGACATTTTAAAATCCTCTATAAAAACCTTCATACAAATCATAAATTGTATGCATGTTTTCAAAATGCCATTTAAATACATGTACTAATTTGATTGAGGAACAAAGTGAACCTGCCAATTGATTTGTTTTGACAACGATTAGACTTCCTAATTGATTATCAATAAGAGTGTGATAATCCAGATTTAACGATTCAATGAGTACCAACAAACAATAAATGAAATTAGCAGAGATTAACATTTATTTTAGCACTAATATATCAACATAAGTATTACAATTTATTTATTTATTGTGTATTGAAGAATATTCGTTGTGAATCCGTATTCCGTACAAGATTCACCGACTATGATTTGTATTTAAACAACTTCCTGTTGTTCTCAATCAAACACATCCGTGGAAACAATAAAGAATCAAACATTGTTCCCTAAGCTATTTATTCTGCAACAACGTTTTCATTATCCTGTAATCAACCAGGACTGGAGTTCAATTTGTCCCAGAAAAAGAAATAATTTTCAATGGACGCATTTTACTGAGTTTCAAGTTAGGATTTTTCCAGAAAGTCCTTGCATGTAAAGCATAAGAAGAAACTTTTTTTCTCAAGTTTCAAGGGTGAAAAGGGGGTGCATACTATACACACCAAAAGACGGTATCACTTCTGGGTAATCCACCGTCCATCCCTCAATAAACAAAGACCATGCAAAGTAAAAAAAGATGTCTAAAAACGGAAGTATTGCAAAAGTAGATTGTATGATTGAATGATGTTTCTTACAGTTGTAACATCTCCAACTTTAATATTCATAGGTTCTTCTTCAAACTGAAAGCGGTCTGTTTGTGCGGCCTTGAAACCTGGAGGTTCATAATCACCAGGTGTAACTGAAAATATATATTGCTAATAAATATCTGAAAAATTTAATATTTTGATAAATACTTTATTTTTATTTCATAATAAATGTAAGTAAATTTTGATTCCAGTGATATCTAGTTATATACAAAACCACCACTATGGGGATAGTTGTTCATGACGTCAAATAGAAATAAATGGAGAACGTGTCCATGGGACACAGATGATGCCCTCCCTTGCATATAACGTTATAAAGGGACATAACTAGAGAACTGTAAAAGTGATGCCACCCAAATTCTAACTCGATCTGTGTTTTATGGTAAAAAACTTTGTGTATAAGTTTCAAAATATTTGATTGAGGCAAACTAAAGTTAGAGAACGGAAACAAAAAATACAGCAATTTTTCCATTAATGAAGGGGCATAACTCTAGAACGGTAAAAGTGATGCCACAAAAATTCGAGCTTGATCTGTGTATTGTGGTAATAAACATTGTGTACAAGTTTCATGACATTTGGTTGAGGCAAACTAAAGTTAGAGAACAGAAACTAATTTTGGGACAAACATACGTACATGTATAGGTACAGACATACAGACGAACAAGGGTAACACATCGCTGTGGAGGGGGCAGGGCATAAAAAATGCTTATGGCAAAGCTTGTAACAACTCTTTGAGGGGTCTGTACATGTAGGTAGACTATTGCATATCTTCATTTTCCAATGGCAGTCCTAATTTTCCTCCCTTCACCTTTGTCAACCCACTAAGCAGAGCTTATCCATGGTATCAAATTTTAATTTGTCCTGAATATGCATGAAATATTTGGCCTGGCAACAAACAATCAATTTAAACTTTGCCTATCATTTGAGGCCTGTAAATGAATATTTATATATATTCATTTTCAAATGCATTCAGTCCTCTTAAAGCCAATTATAACACACCTAAATATTTCAATATCAAGCATAAAATATGACAAACTAATATAATGGTAAACATAAATCTCACGATCGTCAAAGTAGAGAAGCTTCATAGTCATCATGATATCATCAGGTAATGACTTTAATGTTTGTGTCAACACTACAATTGTCCTCAAAAGTCTGATGGTAGCTTTCTTTGTCTCTGATGCTGAGTATGCACTGGATACTTTCTTGTCATTCCTGAAATAGTAATTCTTATATAATCAAATTTGTTCAAGAGCAGATTACTGTGAAAATATGGTAACAAATTTGATAGGTTACAGCTGCTTCTATATATTTGAAATTCAAGAGGAGTAAATAGAGGATAGAATCAATTATGTATACATCCTACAAACAAGTACCTTCATCAACTTATTTTCAAGAACAGTTATATATTTAGTGTTTCTACATTGTACTACTTGATGCCATCATGTTCTTACATTTTTCAGGTCTTCTCATGGTTGTCTTGTTTTTGAGTGATGAGCTTTTACTTTTCCTTTGTTTATATCTTATATTTCAACATATAATATTTGAAATTATAATATGAAAATTCTTGCTGTATGCAATTATTTCATTGTAACTGCCATGATTTTTGCTTATTTCAATCTTTAATTTTAATCTTAAAGGTTAATGTTCAAAGATGGTTATGCTGTTAATTTTTAAAGCATTGCATGTGCCCTGTTAATTTTCTTTTCCTGTGAATATCAATACAAAAATAGGGGTATAGCAAAAAGTCAGCCCTTGCAGTAAAGGCTGGAAATAATAACACAAATAGCCTTTCTTACAATCAATCAAAAGACTTAAATCATGGTCAGTAACTGCTTTCATCATATGCAAAATAGTTCTGCCTCTTACAAACATTTAACCATGGTTCGATGGTATCACCAGCCCAGTAGTCAGCCTTCCATGTTGACATGAATTATCATTGATGTGGTCATAATTATAAATTAACTGTTTATAAAACTTTTGATTTTTTGGAATACTAAGGATTTTCTATCCAAAGAATAGATTACCTTAGCTGTATTCGACAAAACCTTTCGGAATTTTGGGTCCTCAATGCTCTCAAACTTCGTACTTTACTTGGCCTTTTTGACTTTCTTGATTCGAGTGTCACTGATGAGTCTTTTGTAGACGAAACGCGCATCTGGCATACAAAATTTTAACCTATGTTTGTATGATGAGTTTATTTAAAGTAAACCTGAATCTAATGTTTAGGGGTAAATTCAGTAAATAAATATACGTCATCAGGGACCGCCCATTTGGGGGAGAGCTTTCTGTATAAAACTGAAGTCATGTGCTCTTCTGATTGGTAGATAATGTTTGTAATAAATATTTTTTGATAGATGGATAAAAACTAGCGTTGAAAAAAAATAAAAAATAAATGCTGAATGTACTAAATTTTTTTACTACAGGGTTGAAAAGTAATGGGGGTCAGTTAAGGAATTAAGTGCGAATCTACAGTGTTTGTAAACAAGGCCATGTGAAGGCCCAAAAATGCCGCATGACCCTATGTTTTTATTGTTGCAAATGATAGGGCTACATTTGTACTTTCATGAATGATATATGAAATTTTCTAATTTCTAAAGGTAAATCAGGTATAAATTTAATTCAAGACATAGATTAGCATTACAGTCAATGGGAGATTTTTTACTGAATTTACCCCTATAGGAAAATATGCATTCTGTCACTGTACTTGTCCAAGGCCACACAATAATCACAAAACTTATTTCCTGTGTATATTAATGCAATGGAAGCATTTTGGAACCATTTGAAGTTGTTTTTTACACAAATTTCTATGTTTAACTCGGCTATCCAAGATGCACTGAGTGTACTGTGAGAGGAAGCATGGGGTATATGGTAAAAATCAGTTTTTGTGTCCAGATTGAACGAAACAATAGAAATTACACTTGAGAGTTATGATATCAATGAAAGGCATAAATATTCCCCCCCATTTTACAACACATTTTGCACATATTTCTCCTCATTATGTGTAAAATCATATGGAAAATCAGAATTACCTCCCTTTGACAGTGTATTTTTTTTAAGCTGTGTTTCACCATGTTAAGTTGTAGAACAAGTTGTAAATAAGCACTTTTCAAGTATTTTAACACTTGAATAATCTGACCGCATGAAGATATTCATTTATTTTTACATAACGCATTGCGTTACTTTATCTAAAAAAAATTGTAGATAACTTTTTATGATTACATGCCCTTCATCTATGAAACTAGTGTTGAAATGTTTGTAATTGGATTACTATGTTAAATAATTGCTTTTAAATATTCTAAATTGTTACTTTAATCTTCCAAATGCAATGTTTGGTCATACCCAGTCTTATTTTTTCATATTTGGCACTTTTTTCTACTTCAGTTTTGTCTGTCTAGTTTTGGCGAAGAAACCATCCTGATGTTGGGGTAACAGGAACTTCTGCAGAGTGATTGTCAATGACATTTTGTGAACTTTACAAGTAATTAAAACACAAATTTAGTAAAATGAAACATAATTGTTGGTTTTTTTTGTATGAAACTGCTTAAAAAAGCCTTTGAAAAGTGTTTTTGTGGTCTTTTCAGGGTATTTAATCAAACACTTCCATATAAGGCAAAATTTAACTAAGAGTACATCAAGACTTTAGTTTCTAGATGTACTTGCAATACTGGTCAAAGCAAACACAGAAAACAATTCATATTTATTAAGCATAGTATTTTACACCATTCTTTTACAAACAGTCAATATGCAACTTTATATACCAAATATACATTGGCCGCAGTATGGGCTGTAGTATAAATTTTCCTCTATCTTTACAAGTTCAGCATTTATGAATGTTGTATTGAAACTGGAACTTGAAAATTGGATACATTACATGATTATTACAAAAAAAGAGGGAAAAGCTACTAAAAAGTCCCTTATAGGGGTAAATTAAGTAAATAAATATACGTCATCAGGGACCGCCCATTTGGGGGAGAGCTTTCTGTATAAAACTGAAGTCATGTGCTCTTCTGATTGGTAGATAATGTTTGCAATAAATATTTTTTGATAGATGGATAAAAACTAGCGTTGAAAAAAAATAAAAAATAAATGCTGAATGTACTAAATTTTTTTACTACAGGGTTGAAAAGTAATGGGGGTCAGTTAAGGAATTAAGTGCGAATCTACAGTGTTTGTAAACAAGGCCATGTGAAGGCCCAAAAATGCCGCATGACCCTATGTTTTTATTGTTGCAAATGATAGGGCTACATTTGTACTTTCATGAATGATATATGAAATTTTCTAATTTCTAAAGGTAAATCAGGTATAAATTTAATTCAAGACATAGATTAGCATTACAGTCAATGGGAGATTTTTTACTGAATTTACCCCTATACTAGACAAAGGGAAATAACTCAAATTAAAAAAAATAATTTTGCAAGGATCTTTCATCATATATTTAGAATTTCAAGTGCATTTCTAGGCCTTAAAGGACTGAACTAAAATTCCTGACCTTTTCCTGCTTTCAAGGTAGCTTGGGAAAACTGTATGTACCAAGTTTATTAAATCTTGCTTAGGCCACAGTCCATTTTAGGTTGACAAGGTTTTGACCTCAGATTTACCCCTGACTTCGAAAATAAAGAAGAGTTATCCTCTCTTTAAAGTGTTTAATGAATCTTGCTGAAGCCAAAAAGTAGGTAAGGGCTTTTCAAGATTTAAACACATGGAGGGGATGAGAGGCATTTTTTAAAGACCGTGATCACCTACAAAATTTTTTTTTTTTTTTATTTTACTTATCATTCTTACAAAATCTATGGAAAATGCAACCACTCATATTTTGTTTATCTAAGTGCCTCCCATCTTCCTCCAACCAAAAATTTTTGGAACAGCCCTTAAGGTTTTGGCTTGAAAATTGATTTTGGAAAACAACTGGGTCATCTTCTCTTCAAGGTAATTATGTATATAAAGTTAGATAGTGATCAATCAAGTGCTGTGGCCTGTGTAAAAGTTAACCACAAATGCATTGAGTCAATTGACACATACATGCTCAAGAGATTTTACCATCACCATATCCTTTTTTGTTGCAAAAGGATAACTAAACATAGTGTTTGGAATCCAACTTGCTTTAATTTAAAGAAAAATCACCTGTATATGTCAATTCCCCCATTGTTGGTGTAGGAAAACTTGAAAGTGTATGACTCAATTACAGTCTGAAAAAAAACAGTAAATAATTTAAGATGACAAAATGTACATTTCTCAAGTAGTTATTCAATGAAAATTACAAAATACAATATCATTCTGTATTAAAAACATAAGACAATTTACAAATAAAAAGTTTGTCTCGTCCTTTAATTGAATTTATAAACCTGATCTCATAATCATAACAATTGTTGAAGTGGAATTTAATTTCATTGTTAAAAATGACCAAAATGTAGATCACAAAATTATTTTGAAAATGAATTTTCACATTGAACTTAATACAAAGTTAGTGTTAATTTTTTGTTCAAAAAAACACTTAGCAAATGAATTATATTAGATACATTCAATAGTCTTGTCAATATTAGATACATTCAATAGTCTTGTCAATCTAAGTGCTACAGTATAAAATGTATGCACCAAACACAAAGCTTAAACAAAGATCAGTGACCTACTTTTTGTGTAAACTGAATCCTTACATCCTGTGAAACAATTGTACATCATAGTATCCGAGATCTGAACATGGAATTAAATTTTAATCAGTCAGTGAAGTGTTAAAAATAAGCAAGAGTGACCATATTTCTTTTTTAAGCAATAGCTCTACACTCCCAAAACTGCATCCTTTCACCATGTTCTATGATTGTAGCCCTCTTAGTATTTGAAATCTAAACTTGGACTTAAAACTTAATTGAAGTCAGTGAAAAGCAAAAGATAGGTCAGAGCAAGGTTTCAGAAAACAAGCATATTTACAAGTTTTGAGAAAACTTCCAAAATTCTGTAAATAGAATTTGAAAATTTATCAAGATCATACATGCCTTTTCAGCGTCGTTTTAAAAAAAAATTGTAGATTATAATATGAAGTTTGGTAAAAAAAATTCTATTGAAAAGTTCTGATTTGTATTTGCTGAGTAAAATACAACAAAAATGTGATGCAGATGGTTACATCTATTGTCTCAGAATCTATTTAAATAATAGCATATTAGAATCCTGATGAATTTGCAATTTTAGGTCCGACATTAACAACAGATGGATTAACTATGTGGTGAAAATTGATAGTTCTAAGACACTTGATTATTTAAAAAGCCTATTATTTGTGACATCATCGAATTTGAACTTAATATCTAATATGTACCTGCCATGAGCAACATGACAGTTGCCACATTTGGAGCAGGATCTGCTTACTGTCCGGAACACCTTAGACCACCCCTGGTTTTTAGTGGGTATTGTGTTGCTCAGACTTAGTTTTTATGTAACATTTCGTAGACTTGTTTGTTTTTTCCTCATTTTTACATTTGCAATGATTTTGTGGGTTTCTTAGAATTTTAATTCTTCTATTGGTACTTCCCCCTCTTCACAACATAGCATTTTTGTGCTGATGTGACATTATGCAATCAACAATCAATCAATCATGGTCAACGTAATAACAATAATAATAGTATAATAATCTTCCACCTCTTTCCCCCCTACAAATTAACTATGTATGGAAGATCTAGATATACTGGATTATGTAGGTCAAAAGATATAGATTTCCAAAATTTGTTGATGCACTTACATCAGGATCTTCCGGGTCAACATAGATCTGAAATATAGAAAAAATGTTTCAAGTTATATAAAACTACATAAACTGTTAAAAAAATAATGGATATCAATTTTTTTTAACAAATTCAAAATCTTAAGGGTTTTTGTTAAGTGTCCCAGCATTTTTAAAGAAAAACCCTATCAATATATTAATCTTTTGTCATTGACTTTTTATAATAATCATATTGTCATATATATTGCTATTAATGCCAGACTTTTTCAGAGTTCATCAATTAAAACAGGAAGTTTTACTGTTTTTTCCTTCAAACAATTCAATAAAATGATAATCAGAGGCAATCTATGGTCAGCCATACCAAAAGCATAAGTTTTGTTAACATGGCTTTTTCCTAGATCTTCAGAATAATTAATATTTGAAAATTGCAAATTGCAAAATATCAGGGTCTTAATAAACTTAGGTCATTTAATTTAAAATAAAGAAGTATTTCTATTTGACAAATTTGGTTTTTTGTACTTGGAAGCCAAAGTCACAAGCTTTTCCTTTCTAACTGGAATCCATCAAGAAGCCTAAGGTCCTCCAATTATCATAAATTTTTACAAAATCAAATTTAAATTTACTTACCCCTATAATCAGCATCCTCAACTGAAAAAAAAATCCTAAATCTTTTACTTGAATTCATTCTATATAGAATTTATTTTTAATATATAAAATATACTGTATTGTAAAATTAATTATATGAATTTCTGGTAAGATCTCTTAATGGAGAAAAAGATGGGGGTTTAAAAGAAATCATTGACAGCATAATAAAATTAGAGCATTTATCAACAGAACTAAAATTTTAACTCTTTATCATGCTGCATTGTTTTCAGAAATGCCCAATTCTCCTTCAATAGCAAAATATGTAAATTATATACAAATGAGCTATACCTTGCTGCTTATTCATACTATTAATTCATAACACTGTCCCACCCAGATCCTCCCTTATTATGCTGTGTATATGTCAGTTGTACCAATAACCAGTCTGCTATGTCTTTGGTGCCCTGACCGAATGCTGAAGAGTTACAGTGCAGATAAAGGCACCTGATTTACACTTATCAGAGTTCAGTAAAGGGACCAAGAAATGCCAACTGGTCATAGTATAAGGAATAAAGTAAACAGACACAGGTTTGGGAGAAAGAATCACAGTTTAATATTTTTTTGCATATCAATAAAGCAATAAACATATTTACAAAGAAAGCAAAATCAAGTTGAAAAACTGTGGTACTCCTAACAAAAAGTACATAATTACTGTGAGTTCTTTAAACAATACTACTCTACTAAATTAAACAATACAAAAAGATATGTGAAGTTGATGCTTCTTATCAAATAAACATATGTATTATGCATGTGTATACATCTTTTAACAAATAAAATTAAATGTCCTTAAGGGAGTTGGAGGGTGGGAAGAAAAATTTTCCCAGTAAAATAATAATGGCTGCTGCAAGCAAGCGTTGCTTTAGGAATAGTTGAGCCTGTGTGCATAAAACAAAAGCCCGGCTAATTAAGCGCTGATTGGTTAATTCAAAATTAGCTATGAATTTCATTGGTTAATTAGTATGATCTCGAAAAACAATTAGTAAACGAGAAGCACATGCGGCAGTGACTGGGAAACCCCATTGCTGATTGGTTAAAAACCTAGACATGCGAGTGTCCCCGAGTAACTACTGACCAGCATTCCAAAACGTATTATGTATTAATACTCTATTTAAATAAAATAGTTCCGATAATAATAAAAGCAAACACAGGGAACGGTGAGTTCAGTAGAATTTTTCACAAAAGTAGAGATTTCTCATGAAAAAAAGTCAATAATTTCTTGACCTGAAGGACTCATGGATGCTGATTACTGCAATGTTATGCAATGCTAAGAAAAGAAATGATCAATTTGTAAAGAAGCATTTGTTTATGATACATATCATTTAATATTGGATAAATTCTAGTTTTGAAAAGAAATAAGGGCACCCTCTACAACAGGGGATCAAATTAGCGTGAGTCAGAGGTCCTGTACCTGTCTTTTTTTGGAGGGGGCTTTTCATTTTTGAATTACAAAAGTTAAGGACCTCCCATTCTTTAAACTGATGCCTTATACAGAACTTTTGATTTTAAAGGAGGACATTTCCGTTTGAAAATTCAATTAGTTTGGACCTTTCATTATGTAAATCAAATTTGAACCCCTGTACAATTTCAATAACAAACATGGCAGACATAAACAATCATCGTGAAATCAAGTTTTTCTCCTATTTCTTGCTTATAGTACTTTATAATCCCCACCCCTACCTGGCAATTTTAATTTTGGAGTAAAAAACCGCAGACAATATACGACTAACTTCGGTAGTTAAGTGTTGTATAGTCTGCAGTGAACATACAAAACACTAAAGTGATAAGAGTAGGAAAACACAGTTCTATGTATGGCAGTCTACAGAAGATCAATCTCGCTAGAAATCAAGATTTTTTTATTTAAATATTCAGGTACACTTCAACCAGAAACAGTTTTCCCTTAAGAACGTATGATTTAAACACATATAAAGATTTATTGTCCTGCCTGTCTGTTGGTTTTTTTAAGAAAGTTTTAGACCGCTGTGTTGTTCGTGTCTGAAGTAGAAAGGCAGCCCATCACTCCAAAATACTATTTTTCTCTGAAGGCACTTAATAAATTTTAAAAAATTAAAAAGCAAAAAATATTATCTAAATTCTAAACATACTGTTAAAGTGTTTTACAAAAGTGTTGAATAAAACTTAAGACTGTTTCAAGCAAGTAACTTACATATTTCTTTTCAATAGCATCAAAACAGCCCTTCACCCATTTGATAACTTGACAAGCTCCTGGGCATGAACTATCATCTCTCAGTATCTTCAAGTTGAGGTCTAATTATAACAGAAAAGAATGGATCTATTTTAAAACATTAAATGTAATGTGTATTAGAAGTTATAAAAACAACAACTCTGTCCTAAGTAAACAAGAATTTGATTTCATTTTTTAATTTAATTTAATATTTTATTAGTAATAGTATATGAAGCAATACTGTTATGAACTGCAACTAAGTCTTCTAGACTGATACCACCACTTGCAGAAAAAACTCTTTAAAGGTAATAGCAAAACCAAAATTTAAATTGTATGTGACCTGTATTTTGTTTATCATCAGGTTTCAACATTGACTTTTTTGACAACTTGCCCTTTGAGCACGTGACCAAGGTATTTTACTCGACCGAAAGAAAAAAACAACTATTCTTGCTCAAGAAATTTCTATAAACTGCCATTAGAGACAAAAATCATTTGCAAAAGCACACAAGTTCCAAGAAGAGTAAAACAAAGGAGGATCTAAGATTTTTACCATGTCATTACATTTTTGTAATTTCTGTGTTATTTTGCTATAATTCATTTGTCTGTCCTTTTCCTTGTATGGTTACCTGACTGGGTCTAAATTGTTTATACAAAATATTCATAAATCGATTTGTTATTTTTTTTATTGATTATAAGTAAGCAAGCCAAATCAAATACAAATCATTATAAATAAATTTAAAAATCTCATGGAAGATTTTTTGTGTCCAACATGACAAGCACTTTACATTTAATAAAAATGTAATAAAATAAAAGAAGAATGTGTATAAGGACACGAATGCCCCTGTTCAAGCATTGCAATTTTTCCAAGTTATAAAGGGGCATAACTCTAGAACGGTAAGTGACTCACTACCCGAATTCTGCATGCTTTGTTCTCAGCATTGTGTATGAGTTTCATTAAATTTGGATGAGGAAAACTTAAGTTACTGTGCAGAAACGAAAATGGGAGAGACGGAAAGATGGTCAAGGGTAACACTTAATTCCCTTTTGTCTAAGACGGGCCATGTTTACAAGCTTTCAGAAAATAAGAATATACATGTATTTGCGGATAGCTGTCCACCCCTGATTTTAGAAAGAACCCTCAAGTTAGTAGTTGAGGAATTTAAAACTGAACAAATCCCCCAACTTGAGCTAAAGTTTTGAAATCAATTAGACCAAACTAGATATCATTGAGATAGGAGCCATCTCTGTGGGCCCCGCTGTGAATAATTTGTGGTAAAAAATTTGTATCTTTATCATTGGACATGGGGTTGTCAACTGAAACCAAAGTTTTTGACCTTGACCTTTGACCTAGGAAGTTATACATAAATTATGACACACCCTCTGGTGTTGGTTTATATACATGTCAAGTATAAATTTTGAAATCATAATGGTTCTCAAGATATAGAGCGGACACGATCTTTACCATAGGACATGGGGTTGTCAACTAAAACCAAAGTTTTTGACCTTGACCTTTGACCTAGGAAGTTGTACATACATTATGACACACCCTCTGGTGTTGGTTAATATACATGTCAAGTATAAACTTTGAAATCATAACGGTTCTCTAGATATAGAGCAGACACAATTTGTTACGGACGGACAGACAGACAGACGGACAAACAGACTGATCACTATAGGGTGTCTGCCATTCAGTGGGGCCCTAATAATCTCCATGGATATGAGATGTGCTTATGCTGATACAACTGCATTCCAAATATCATTAACCTTCCATACCAATGGGGTTCTTCTCAAACAGACATAATCAAAAACTTTGAACATTTAAATTAATTAAAAGTTTGAAAGTCAATAGACCATAACTAAGGGAGAGGGACCAAATAATCTCCATGGAAATGAGATGTGTCAATGTGAAATACCAAATAGAACTGATTTACCATGAGTGGTTCCCTTTAGAATGACCTAAACAAATTTTTGACACTTTTGCCAGAAACAGCATTCCAAAGTTTTGCCTCAAAATTTTGCAAAGTAAGACAAAAATGAAAGCTGCTAAAAGAAAGATTTTTCCAACAGCTCCCTTTATTTCTAATCTACTTTTGAACAAGCAAATTTAGCATCAGGAGCTACTGGTTTTGGGTTGTTTTTTTAAGTTTCATAAAAAGTGGAAGAATTATTCAGTTTCAAGAAAACAGACTTGTCTCAATGGCAATCATATATATACCACATCTTTTAATTTTTATCTTAAAGTTTGACCACAAGGAAATCCAGGACACCAGCTCATCTTCTATATTCCCAACTTACCTTCCAAACACCTATCACCAAATGAATGCTCTGGGAAGATTGCTCGTAAATATGCAATGTTGGACACAGCTACAGCAACAAGCTTCTTCACAAATAATGTTGACTGTTGTTCTGTCACAGTTTCATTTGGAAAAATGGCAGACCACTATTTAAAAATATAAAATACATGCTCAAGAGTTTGTCCTTGTTGCACAGAGCTATGTCTTGAAGTCCAGTTGATGCAGTTCTAATATTCAATCATTTTCCCCGAATACAACTTTAACTTGCAAAAGGAAAATACATTTTAGACAGAGATCAATCAAGCCTATCATGTAACTTGCAAATAAAATGTCTACCACAACTGATATAACACATCATTGTTGTATGGTATATGGTTGCACTGGTAGATGATTTACTCACACCTGCCAACCTCTGAAACCTTCAATGAGGGAGATCTCCCCCTCAGCTATGACAGCTGAGGGGGAGATTTTGCGCGAACGACATTTTCAAGTAAAATATATGACCTGTTTATTTATTCATCTACAAAACACCAATAAGAGTTAATAGATATACTTTATTTCTTCAATCATGGTTATATCCTATACAAGTGTTTTTTTTTTTCCTTTTTCAATACCTCTGAGCATACTCATGACAACATTGTCAAGCCACAACTGGAGATTTGAAATTTTCAGTTGCAGTAACATTCAACATTTGATATTTGTGTCCCTTTAGGGCAGCATAGAAAATTTACTTGTTCAATATATTTCTTATAAATTTCAATTAAAACATTGAATAGAAGTATAGATATCTTAAATCATTTTCAAAATATAATATTTTTTTATTTTGTCCTAAGACATTCAAAATCATTAAATTACAATGCTTTTATGATTCTTTGTTCAATTTGTATTTAATTTATATTCATTTATCAATTAACATTATTTTAAGGAGTGTACCTTAAAACATGATTAAACAGGGGAAGTAACCCGAAATTTCTTTGAAGTGCTTTCAAAATACACTAAGCTTGAGGTAAAAGTCGTTAATGATCGTTAATTAGTATTATGTTTGACACCCAAGCTGTCAAGTGAAGCCATTTAATTTCATAAGGTCTGTGATTTACAGGTAACAACTACCCTCATCAGTGACACAAAAACGTAATTAATGTTGTCAGACTTGTCAATTGGGGTTAAAACATCCGAAAGTGGGAGATTTTTTACTCCCGCACGGGAGCGAACCGGCAAGCAGATTTCCGGAATTTCACCATAAGGGCGGGAGTCTCCCGCTCAAAACGGGAGGGTTGGCAGGTATGATTTACTTGGCTGTTTAACAACTAGCAAAAACTTTCACATTCACGTTTTTCAAACAAGAATTAATAAAGGTCTTGAGGAATATTGCATGAAGTGTTTCAGAGAGACTCCTAATGAGAGAGGCAAAATTTTTACTTTTGTCGCATTGCTGTGGGGATGATAATGATTTGTTAAATACAATGCATTTTTCACATTCATATAATTGATTGGGAAAGAGTTCATAAGCAACAGACCCTACAATTTTTAACACACCAAGTTGGGAATATTTTAACTCTTGCAGAAAGGGAGAATTTTATATTTTACATTTGTATAAAGTTATGAATGAAGACAGTAAATTCAGCATGGCTAAAGAGCAATTCTTAATAAAAATTGGATCCCTGTAAATCTGTAAAATTGAGAATTTTAGCCAATTCTAGTTAATACATTTATTTAGCATTTTAACTCTTTATCTCAATTCCAAAATACATAATGTACATACAAAGTCATGTCAAACTGGCTAAAGTATGACTATGACTAAGACTAAGTGCAACAACAATTATATATTGTAGTATACATAGATTCATTAGTAATTTGAGCATGTGTTCTTTCCCTTGGCCACCATTTTGGAGGGGTAAATGGTTGATTTTCTTATTTGACTAACCAAATTGAAACTTCAGTGCAATCAAGTCTGATAAAAGATGCTTACTAGATAGTAGTGATGAATTTTAACCCTTTCAACGCTACACAAAAAAAATAGAAAAATGTCTGCTGCTGCTGCATTTTTTTGGTGTTCATTCATTAGAACAGTATATTCCTTATCAGACTGCTGTATCTTTTTAATCATTAGAGATACAGACAAAGTTGTGCATGAAAAATGCTCAGGAGAGCATGAACTGTAATGTTATGCAATTATTTTAGTAAAATTTTCATCAAGCTACCTGCATTTTCAGGTAATTAACAGGTAAAAGGTGCAAAATTATTGTATTTGTGTTTAATTTTGAATAAAAACAACTTCTTATCTTCATTTATTTTGTTGTTTTATCTGCCATATAATAATGAAGACACCAATTGCTCAATTCCATAGCTTATTTGCACCATACATAACATATAATGTAAATGTGGCGCAAATAAGTGGCTCCATCCTCAAAATTTCCAGTCAACCTCTGTTTCCCCCCCCCCCCCCCCCCCCCCTTTTCACTATGTCTCGTAAAGATCAACAAATCATATTTCCCACACAAATTGAATGTAATTAACACATTGAGATAAAGGGAAACCTTTCTATTCTTCGTTGTCAGTTTCGCCATAGAAATGCTGAAATATTTCCATATTTACAGCGTCTTTTTCGATTTCCGCCATTTGCATTTGTCAAAATATTTTCTTTTATTTTTCTTCTTCTGCATGCTTTAACCATTAAAATTCCCGCGATTTCAAGCGCAAACGGGACCTTGTATATCCTCGATTTATACTAGGAAAAATTAGAGAGGACCCGAATGAAAACTGAATGGTTACGACTCAGAATGAAAAATCCATCGTAATCGTAACATATGCCACGAACAGCAGTGGCGGGCTGCGTACATCATCGCGGCATATGCCGTGTATAGCGTTGAAAGGGTTAAAGGGAAAGTCCGCGATTTTTTACTTATCATCTAAATATGTTCATCTTAACATAAAAAACACATTCACAAAGTTTTAAATTTATATTCTTTCTAATAACGGAGAAAATCAAGTATTTGTAACTTTTTTGGTTGACCTACGTCACTGGGTTGTGACGTTTTAACCCGATTTGTTGAATCATGGGAAAAAATAAAATCTGTAGAAGTCTTAATTGCTTATCAGAATTTTACGTAATTAAAAGCGCACAGATGACCGTTGGTTGTAGTTAATAACCTCAATATAAGAATGAAAGAAAATGAATATGTGTGTACCGTTTTGTAATGATTGAATAAAACTTCCTATATGAAGTTATCTAGATATAAATATTTTCGAATAAATTTCATAAATTATTGAGATTTTTTCATAAAATATCTATAGATCATTTTTACTGATATTGAACTGAAAATATTTTAAGTTTTATTTACCGTTATAACTTTGATTACCATTTCAATGCAAAATATTTGTGAACAGAGTGTGTATATTATTTTGTAAAGTCATTGTTTATTTCTCGATTTGAGGAGAATTCGTTTGAACTTTACCTTGCAGCAATTTAGCCTCAGGCGTACACAGGTGTGAATATTGTCATTTTGAATGGATTAACAGAAAGAGTATAGCGTGTTTAATATATCTAGATGAAATACCCGATGACAATAGAGAAACAATAAATAAATTGTATAAATTAATTGAAAATTAACATTCAACTTTTTAATTCCGGAAGTGTTACAATATTGAAATGGAACAATTTTCGGTTACGTTCTATGCAATTAGCATAAAGTTAAGAAATGAAGTTAAAAGCATAGTACTTTTAATCTTAAAAATTAAATGTTACATTTCCCAATTAATAATCATTGCACATCTGTTTTATTTACTTTACCGGAATTCTTTAACTTGTATTTAAATCTGGCGATGTTTATAAATGCTAACAATCGTAAAACTATCGCAATTTTAAAGTTTTTAATTGAAAAAAATACAACAGTATAACATGCATGATTTTTTTTAATTTTCTTATTAACATTATCATTCTCACATAATTAAATTCATTTGACAATCACTTAGACAAATTATTTGTGAAAAGAATACCAATTATCGTTTATTTCATTAATGAATATACATACATTATAAATCTAAGCTAATACATTAATTTGTTTGAGGATTTTTTTTAGGATAGCCGTCATTAATCCAAATAAGTAATACAGTTGTTGTTATTAAAGGCATATCTTAGTAATGTATTACTGATATTGATGATTTTAGAACAGTTCGTCCCAACCTCGTTGTTCTTGAAACAATCTTTACTAGTATACTTGTAAGTTTCCTGACGTATATGCGCCATTGAGGATGAGCTCCAGAGATAGCAGACTAGTAGCGTATTTGTTTGTTGGGGCAGGAGAGGCCATGAAACCACTTGTACAGATAAACAAGCTTATGTTGTCAACACTACCAGAAAGAGTTCCCATCGTCGGATGGGGTATATGAAGGTTCCAAGAATGAACTATTGACATGTCTGACTCTGAACAGTTAGTAAACGGACTTAACAATGATCTATAGACATCGATCGCTTGTTCTTGCTATTTGAAACTGCATGCATATATACGTTTATGAGAGTGATTATTTATCTTGTGTCTGACGAAACTAAATGCCTGCATGGTTATATCTTGTCATACGCTTGTATTGGTTTGGTGGGTGTTCACTCAAAATCGTAATTCAAAAATTGTGTTTGTGAGATGTAGATTCACTGCAATACCGAATTTCGTCTATATATTTCACAAGTGTATACCACGGAAAAGATCTGAAGGTATATTACTCCCATTTTGTTTGGGTGTGAACCATCGATGTTTACAGCAATATTTAATGAATAAGATGATGATGGTAGAAAGAACTATGAGCGTCATGTGGCAAATATTACATGCATGTCGGACCATGAGTTGTCAATCTGTATGAAAAGATTTCCAATACAACCATATTGAGTATGAATTTTTACATGCTATACTCTCGTACTAGTATTAAAGGGTTCTTGTGTCGTTTAACTCCGACACACATCTTTTACTTTAAGATGTATGAAAGGTTCTAAATATATATATATATCTTAAATGTAACAATAATCAAACGCCTATAGGCAATCACTTAAATGGTATGAAGTTTTTATACATATTTATTCTTATTTACACAATCATTAACAAACTAAATAAATTTAACAAAGTAACACCGTGACACTACGATATAACAAATGGGATACTAATTATTTTTAACCATGCTATGCAGAAACTTTACACATCAAGCAGGAACATTTATTAGTATACTGTTCCCAGCATCAAGTTAGTGCACGTGAATACCAATTAGGTACACGATGTGTGATTTTGTATAACTAAAAATATCAAAGCGAGTAATAACTTTGTCAAGCAAACATTTTTTTTCACTATGCCTCTCTCTATCTCCGCTCCTTTACAATAACTATTTCGCTTTTCGTCAATCATTCTCTATATTGTTCTCTATTCGGTTATTTTTTTTTCACTATGCCACTCTATCTCCGCTCCTTTTTCCCCTGTCGTCCTAATCCTTATAAAGATAGAGACATTAGACATAGAAGGGGCTCTCTTATCTTCCCTTTAAGCAAAACTAAAAAAAACAAGAATGTGTCCATAGTACACAGATGCCCCACTCGCATTATCATTTTCTATGTTCCGTGGACCGTGAATCTGGGGTCAAAACTCTAATTTAGCATTAAAATTAGAAAGATCATATCATAGGGAACATGTGTACTAAGTTTCAAGTTGATTGGACTTCAACTTCATCAAAAACTACCTTGACCAAAAATTTTAACCTAAAGCGACCAAAATTTTAACCTGAAACGGGACAGACGGACGAATGGACTGATGGACGAACAAACCGATGGACGAACAAACGGAAGCACAGACTGAAAAACATAATGCCCTTCTACTATTGTCGGTGGGGCATTAAAATGTTCAGAAAACAACTTTTTTTTTAAATCTAGCAGTCAGTATAACAAGTTGTATTTGGCTGATTCATCCAAACCTCCAACATGATGACAAAAGGGAAGTAACTCTTGCTTTAATTGTGTCAATCAAAATCTATCTTTAGAGTCTTACTGTACTGGTCTTCTCCTGTGTTCTCTGCATCTGTGCTGTAGACATCTAAAAATAATTCAAGAAGACTATTTATCTATTAGCATTTTTTTTACTTAGTTTATGTAAGAGAGAAACAAAGGATATGGGGTATCCATCCATCCAAAAAGGGCTATTTCTGTTACAAGTGTCTTGAGCATCATGATCTTTGCTAACCAAGGATTTCAACCCAAATCGATTATTACCTCATGGATCAGAAATTCTTACTTTATCTGCCAAGGATGAAGGTAGAAGGCCAGATTGTAACCCTTGGCTTGCAAAAATGATGGCTTGAGGTACCTTATCTTGAACCAAAAAAATTGTTAGTCTAGGGTTACTGGTTTTTTTCTTAAAAAAAGAAATTTTCTGACTCCCAACTTTGAAATGAAAAATATTTTGATTAGGGAAAGGGGAAAAAATCTGATCGAGAGTTTTTGCCATTAAATTTAATGATAAATAATAAATCCATCAAAAAAAATTGTGCCTTGTATAAAAAACAAATTAAATAAATTGATGCTTGTGTGGTAATAAATTTTTTTTTCCAAATGCAAAAGAAAAACATAACCCCCTCCCCCCTCCTCAAAGTAATTTCTTACTTTAATTTCAACTACAACTCAACCTTTAAGTTGACTTTAACACATGTATATATATAATCTAACTTGAACTTTAACTTAATGGTTAACTGCACTAAAAAAAAAAGTAAAGAAATAACATCAAACTTTAGAATTTTTTTTCTTCTTTAAAGTGGTGAAATCTGAGCTCAGCTGATACAGCGACACACCATTGTACTATCTGAATCTTGATGCATCTTTGCATTCACGAAAATGATGAGTCCTGGGCCCTCGGTCATAAAACTTTACTCTGTACTCGGGAGTACAAAATTTGTGCTCGCAACACCAAATCAAGTATTTTAATTGGTTGATTTCTGAATCTGAGTACGAAAATCATGCTCAAAAGTTTTATGACCGCAAGGCCAGGACTCATGAACTTGCCTCAATTAGAACCATGTCAGTGGGATATCCAGTGAACGAAAACAAAAGAAATTCACTCTTCTTAATGATACAGGGTCTGACACTTACGGTTGTCCGATTGCCCGGGGCAAGCTAATGCCGTATTCGGACAAGTAAAAACATCATCTTGGTTGTCCGATTGGGCAAGTGAAAAAAAAAGTGTTATATGATTAAAATTTCACAAAATCAATAGTGTCTGTTGTTTTGTCCATAGATTACTCAGTGATAACACCGCACTGTCGAGTAAAGTGGTCTTAACCCCCCTTCAATGCGTATATTTCGTCAATTGTTCGCACTGAATTCCCCATTTTTCCAAAAATAGATCACGTTTAAAAATATTGGCCAATCAGGCTGCCGCGGTGTTGCTTCGTCATTATCGTTATCCATCGGGACACCACTCGGGCGTTTCCGACGCACGTGTTATTCCCACCGACCAATGGAAAGCGGAGGTCTATTTTCGTTGTTCTAACTTTATAATTTGACATCGGATGTGTATTTCCCTAAGATGGAAAAACGTAAAAGCTTGAAAGAGAAAATGAAATTAAACTTTAACAAATTTGTCAGTTGTCAGTTTATCAAGAAGGGTTATTTGAAATGGCATTTCTTAGATAAATTATTATGAAATAAGTATCTCTATGTAAATGATCCAATTCCCGTATATTCATCGATCTTTTCCCTCCCTCCTCGGCTCATATATGCCTAATAGTATATTTTCATACGCCATAATCAATTTACACCCCATATACATGATAACTATATTTTATCTGCATGTACTACATTACAACCACAAAAATAGCATGTAAAAGTTTGGGCATGTAGATTTCACTTTCGGACAAGTAAAAGTAATAGGGCACTTGCCCAACTGGACAAGTTGGTATAAAAGTTAATGTCGAACCCTGTGATAGAGTTGAGAAAGTCAATAATAAAACTATACCAGTGACGATACTGAACAAAAATTATTTCTAAATAATAATTGTACATTTTAAAGAAATTATTAGTTAAACTGTGTTACTAGAAATATACATGCAAATACATGATGCTTTATGTTCAGTATTAATCGAGATAATTGCTTTAGAAGCTGCCAATCTTTGCTGCATATTGATAAAACTAAATGTGTCGGAACAACACGAATGGCCCTGTCTCAAAAAGTTGAAAAATCTGCAATTTCAACAACACATGTGGACACAAACATGCATGGATAGTATCCAGCTCTCAAGACCAATACTAGTTGGAGTTCAAGTTGATGAAAAATTTCCTTGATCAATGAGTAGTTAAATTTCAAGTTATCAGCAAACAGGAAGTGGATGTACTGTAGATCTAACAAGATGTGTTGAAACGACATGAAAATCAGCATAGCGGAACAAAACATAAACATGATCTGTAACTCATCATGGTAGACCCACAGCTCAAAATCTGAAGGCGTATAGAAAAAAAGTCCATATAACTGTAATCTGCAAAATCAGCAGAGCCAAATGAAACTTAAACTTGATCTGTAACACATCATGGTTAACTCACATACCAAAAATCAGCCCAATATCTGAAGGCGTTTAGAAAAAAAGTCTGTATAACTGTGATTTTCAACAATTTATCAAAGTCCAAAGCCCATAATTTCGGCAAAAATTAGCAGAGCCGAACGAAACTTATACTTGATCTTTAAATCATCATGGTTAACTCACATACCAAAAATCAGCCCAATATCTGAAGGCGTATAGAAAAAAAATTCGGATAACTGTGATTTTCAACAATTTATCAAAGTCCAAAGCCAGTAATTTCGTCAAAAATTAGCAGAGCAGAACGGAACTTAAACTTGATCTGTAACTCATCATGGTTAACTCACATACAAAAAATCAGCCCAATATCTGAAGGCGTTTAGAAAAAATTCTGTATAACTGTGATTTTCAACAATTTATCAAAGTCCAAAGCCCTTAATATCAGCAAAAATTAGCAGAGCGGAACGAAACTTAAACTTGATCTGTAACTCATCATGGTTAACTCACAAAAATCAGCCCAATATCTGAAGGCGTTTAGAAAAAAATTGTGTATAATGGTTTGTTGCAGAATGACGGAATGACAGACAAGGGTAGAACTATAAGGCCCCAACAACTTTGTTGCGGGGCCATAATAGAAAAAACTGCGTAAAATGGTTTGTTGCGGAATGACGGAATGACAGAATGACCGATAAGGGTAAAACTATATGGCCCCGACAACTTTGTTGCGGGGCAATAAAAATTGGAAAAATCATGTACATACAAAATCGAAATATCTTTCGGGTCACCAATTTTCTGAGTGCTCCAAAAAGTCCTTAGCATGTTACAATTTCCCAAAGTATGCCTATTTTTTCACACCTAAGTTGTCACATGTACGATCAATAGAGAACTATTGTCTTTTCGTGAATATAAACATTTAAAAGTCTGTCTGTGCAGGTTAAAAAATTAAAGATAACTATTTTTATGAAGTATGTATCTTTCTACTCTTTTGTATACAATTTTAAGAATAGGTCGTCTCGAGTTTTGTACAAGAATATGCGGTCATCTCGATCTATTCACATTCAATGTTTACATCGAGATAAGGTCTGTTTGATTTTGCTTAGTAACTTAATTTCAAAAGTGCCAATCTTTGCTGCATATCAATCAATTCCTTTGGAATTTTTTCCCTCACTTTCTCTGATCTAGCTGTATATATATATACGAATAATTAGCATGTTCCAGAGAGGTAAACAGACAGTAAAAGATAAATTGAAGTTGGTACTCCAGGAATTTATTCGCATAGCAACATAATTTAAACCAATTTAACACCAAGCTTCTACAGCCTGCTGTACTCGCAGTCTTCACGCTTAACCACAAGTCCTACAGCATTGGCTTGAAAAATTGCTTTCAGACTTGTAAAATTCTTCTCAACAAGCCAACAGAATCCAACTAAAATTTTCAAAAAATTGAGCTTCGGGCTTGTGGACTCAAATTAATCGTGAAGGCTGTACTCGTCGTTTGCTACTTAAGGAGGAAAATGATAACATTTAGTGGAAGTTTTGTTTTTATTTCAATTTATTTCTATTTTTACTATTTACCAGAACGTTTTTCCGTGAATCCATAATTGATAGCGTCCTTGCTAAAATGGGACAAACATTGAGAAGATCTAGTTTTCAGTGTTTACAGGGGAGGTAATATTTTGTCACTAGTTTTCCCACTGATGTATAGTCGCCTAAGTGGTGCAATTCAATATAGTATTCTAATATTATCAATAAATTTATGCTATTTTAAAATAAGTTTGTATAAGTTTGTCCTCTTTAAGTCATTCACAAAAGTTATCAGGTCATTCTGGCCCCAAGTCAATCCGGCCCTATAGTAAATTAATGAATATATAAAAGTTGAATGGTTTTGTGACATATGAGATTCATGAATGAAAAATATGTATAAATTTCATCGATAATCTCAGTGTGTGAAACCTCCGCTCGCCAACTCGGGCGAGCCAGAAATAAATATGGTGAGCACTGATATTTGGTAATTCTCTGGCCAGTTGATGTATTTTGATAGTTGTCGGGCCTTAAATTGTCAAAGGTTCATGTATTTTAAGTCTGTTGAGCTACTTTCAATGTGCAGTGTAAACAGTTTATTTATCTCGATTGGAAAACCTAAAACATTATTATGATGACCTTGACACTTCATTGAATCAGCATGCTAAAACCTATTAAACGATCCCAACCCCACGGATTTTAATTTCTCGACATAACTAAAATAAACATATTATGCATACAGTGGGGTATCAGTGGGTTACAAATAAAACATTTAATATCTATTGTACCTTCCTATGGTCCATGTATGTTTATTTTAAGCAAAATACAGGATGGACATTGTATTTGTTGACCAGATTTGAAAGCCATTTTTTATACTTCTCTGAATGTTCAACAAGTTCAATCTGGAGGCATTTATGAAATAGTAATTTCAAAATGGAATAGTTTTTAATGCTAAATGATTTAAATAAACAAAAGGAACTAAATTAAAAAGCAAAACCAGAAACTAAACTTAAAAAGGCCTTTGGTGCAGAACAGTTTAATTATTCATGTTTTTTTTAATAAAAAAATTGATAATCATACTAGAAGAGGCTGCTCAATAACTCCAGCATTTGTACTAAGATTTATCCATAATTATTGGAAAAAGGAAGTCTAGTTATGACAAAAAATAACTTTTGACTTGTCAGTTGTGGTAAAAATGTTTTTGAAACACCTCTCCTAAGGTAATTACAAGATTTATAATTAGTTGACTGCTCCCTTATATAACTGAGAATACTATATGTAAATAGTAATTTCAATTGTCTAGTTACCAGTTATAGATTAAAATAATGTACATACCTACATACATTTAGTATGTGGAATGGAATAATGTGTTTTAATAATTATGTATGAAAAAGCAGGGACTCTGAAAAAGTAAATCACTTGCCAAGCGGGCAAGTGGAATTTCAATTTGGCGAGTTGAAATGAAAAGTTGCTCACCAATTTGGCTAGTAAGGAAAAAAAAGGTTTCACACACTGTAATCTGAGATATTTTTAGGGATACAGTATTGATCATAACAGAGGTATATAATACATTTGTATTATATGTCTCTGATCATATAAATAACAAGAATAATCAAATAAGTTTCTCTTCTATAATGAAAATCATATATTTGAATATGCGTCAGGGGCACAATTTTTAATCGTCCAGTATCCACCTTTGCAATTCAGACTACACGTAATTCGGCAGACCAGCGGACAAATCTGGTGAATAAACAGAATAATTGATCGGTCTGGTAAAATTTTGTTGAATTCCGGTCCGCATGTCCGGTGTTGTTTATCGTCCGTTTTCTTTTTTTTATTATCGTATTTCCGGTTGAATACTACTTCCGTTGTATTTTCAAATTTATATATGAAAGGATAACATGATTGGATTATTAAAATATACGGAAAGAGCCATTCCTGGTAAAACTGCAAAAAAGAAAATAACGGACAATGAAAGGAAAGAAAAAAGCAAAGTATTAAGACACACAGACCATCACAAAAATTGAATAAAAAATGGCAAAAAAATTGGCTGTAGCTGAAGTTTGAAAATGACACAATGACTTGCTCTGTCTGTGTAGATTAGTCTATAGCAACATAAATAAACAGGGTTCAAGTGGCCTAAGGGGGCAAAAAAAATTTATAACAGGCTGTTAGAATCATATGCTAAATAATTGGAGTTATTATGATGGTAATATTCCTGAAATGCATTCAAGTAATTGTGCACAACTTGTCACATGATTTTGTTTTAGTGCATTTGACAGGAGTAGGGCACAACAAGTCATAAGTTTCAGTGTTTGTTGTATTTTGTCGGATAATACACAATTAGATGTAAAAAAAAATTGGCCTGGTAAAATTTCACTTGGTCTGGTAAAGCTAGGTTGTTTACCAGACCGAATGTCCTGTAAAAATAAAATTCATTTGTGTAGTCAGCAATTATTCAAAAATTCATTAATATTTATGAACTACACGTCAAATATATATCCTCGTGTGATATGTTGTCGTACTAATAACAATTTTCACTGCTTACCATTTTCACTGTTAGAGTTTTTATTCACGTGTGTACTCGAATTTTAGAAGCATGTTCTCTCGAATGTTTTTAGGTATCTAGATTTTCTTGTCAAGGCTTCCTATAATTTTTTACTGTTTCCGATTACTTTGCGATTTTCGTATGTCATAAAATGGCTTCATATGTTTTTGTAGGAAGTAAAAATGGATCAGTACACGGACAGGAAATGACTTTTAAATCCGGATATGAGCGTTTTCTAAAGTCATAGTTCTGGTGATTGCTTGAATCATAAAAAAAAATTATCTAATACTTTTCAGTACTAAAAATAACTAAATAGCTTTTGGTTGATGTTTCATGTGCTGAAATTGTTACATTGTGATTTTTTTTTTTTCAGATTGGCACAGGGTTTCTACAAAAGACATTATTTTTTTTAATTTGAAATAGTTTTCAAAATTTGGGATTTAATGTAAAATGTTAAGACTGTTTTCATCTTTATGTATTAAGGTTGTATAAAAAGAATTGTCAATAGTACATGTATATTGAATAAATGGATTTTGGACAACCATTTTATAGAAGAACAATGTTAATTTTAACTCGCTGGTTTGTAATATTAAAGTACGACCAAAAACCACATGACAGTCATGTGACTTGAAGATCCAGTGTCTGACAGGCAGACAACATAGCTATACTTCATGTAACCCTTCAGAAATTTTTCTCAACAACTTTTCTAGTGATGCATATTTTTGACATCTATACTACTAAAGGAAGAGACCAATTTCATTGAGCCGCAACTCCTCCAGTGGTTCCCAAGGCTTTGAGAAATCAACTGGACATTTGGTCACGTAAACCATTCTTCTTAACTGGACGACTCTTTTCTTTGCACATATGATTTGGACAAAATTAAAAATTTTACTGGTCATTTGGTCCAGTAATGCATATGACTCAACTGGACCAAACCAATTTTTACTGGTCTTTGCCCAATGTCTGGCGACCTTGGGGATGACTGCTCCTCTGAAACCATACAAAGTCGGAAATATTTATGATATGACGAATAAATGTAGTGTTTTGTACTTCCTAAATTTGTCTTTGAAACAATCTTTTTTCCACAGAAAATGCCAATTTTTGAGAAAATATCAGAATTCAGAGACCTTTATCGATCCCTGTCTTATACGCTTTCACGCGATGCTCAGTCAACTTACTGCCTGCGAAATCCAAGTGAAAATAAGAAGAAAGAATAGAAAATAGGACAGTTAGGCCTATAAGGATCCTGTATTGTATTGTAAGTGCATCATTTTGCTAAATTAAAAGACATCCACCCTTTTCACTCAGGTGCAGAAGTCCAAAAATGAAATGGGCTTTGAACGTATCGAAGTGATCCTCCCCCCTTTTTTATGTGTAAACACAGGCACCCGATGTCCAGACCCCTCCCCCCTTTTTATGTGTAAACACAGGCACCCTTGACACTCTTTGTTTCAACACTTGCCTAATTGTCCCGCGATTTCACGGGCATCTTCTAGTTAAATAAAAATGGCTGAACAGGTAAGTTTGATTAAAATATGTTCTTACGTCTTTAAAAGCGATTTTGAATGAATGCACGTCGTTTCGTAACCTGGTCGTTTCGTACCTGGTCGATTCGTAACTACCTTGTTTTGTAACTGAGACGTTTCGTAACTTTTGTAATTATATATGGTTATAAAGTGTTAGTTTAAATTAACTAGTTTAAATGAAAAAGTTAAAGTTATTATTAAAAAATAATCAAATTGTTCATCTAATAATAACAATATCGTAATATTTTTAATTTAAAATTTTCTGAAATCTTTTTAATTATTGGCTAATTGGTAATTACACTCGGTGACAGCTTTAATGGTTTTATGACAACTAATGACAGGTAAAAACGTCCTTGTATGTAGCGGGTCCTTACACGCTGATACCTTTTCAGTTTACCTTCGGATACCAACTTGATCTGTAGAGGAAGAAACAATGTCTCCCTGTGTAAAAGTCGACAAAGACGGTAGAACGGAGGGTTGCCGATGACAGCTTGGGTGTTAAGGTCGTTGTGCCGTAAAAATTTAAAAGTGTTGCCCTTGGAATTGTATGAAACTACCAGGCCTGTCTTTTGGATTTTACGGAAGATGGCTTGACTCCAGTGAAATGCACAACCTTGGACGGGGACTCCTGGAAACAGACGGTGTAGAGCATTCCACAGGCCACGTTCAAAGTCTGCTATGAACTTTTGAACGGCAGTGCATGGCAGTAGTTGCAAAATAGCCCTAAGAACTGAGACATAGTCCTTCGTGCGTTGACGTGACATGATAACATACATGAGAGGTACATGTTTGGTTTCTGTCCCACTGTTTAGGAAGCAGTTGATGGTAAATAGCTGCTTGAATGGTGCCTTTACCACTTTGAAAGTACCGTCCATATACCAACATTTGGACTTAGACAGTAATTGCAGTTGTTGATCTGTGGCTAAGACTACATATCTTTGACCATTCTTTTTGATATCAGCTTTCAGGAAGTTGTCTGGCAGGTAGTATTCTGCAAGATCGAAATCTAGGTGTTTTGGCTCAGGAGGACGATCTTTTTGGCGTCTACGATTACATTGTCTCTTTAAATTAGTGATGGCAGGACGACTTGCCTCCGGCAGGTTTACATTAGCATGTGTTGTTAGAACTGTCTTCACAATCTCTGATGATCTAGTAAAAGCATGGGCTGGTAATGCCGCTTGTGCCTTGACAGTTGATGAAATTGTGGCCGCAACCACTGAACCAGGTGCAGAAGGATGATTATGTGTTAATTTGCCTGGAACGAATTTGTCACCTATTTGGCTAACCGCTGCTGGACACCTGTTGTTTTTACCTCTTACACTACACCACCACCAGGTCTTTTCATTTTGCTGCCTTTTAACAGTGAAAGAAAAACCATCACTAGAATAAAGCTTATGTTTACCACGTTTGGTACCTTGGTCTAATATCTTGTAAGTAATTGTGGCAGTTGCATCAATGCCCTCCATAGGGTCGTCAACCGAGCTGTCAGACAGAGACTCTTCGTTATCGACGAATCGACTAGTTACGAATCGACTAGTTACGAAACGACCAGGTTACGAAACGACCTGCACCCTTTTGAATATGTTTGATTTGTCACGTTGAAGTGTTGTTGTTGTTCCAAATATAGAAACCAGAAAACAAGTCACAATGTACACCTGCGCAATCGAAACCGATGAAATATGGATGATACGAAAACATATCATATGACACGACGATATATATATATTTTTTTCCAGGTTCTTACGTCTTTAAAAGTGACTTTGAATATGTTTGACATTTGTCACGTTGTAGTGTTGTTGTTTTTCCAAATATAGAAACCAGAAAACATGTCACAATATACGTGTGCGCAATCGAAACTGATGTCGGCAATGAAAAAATTTGGGTCTGATAGACTGGGCCAAATTGACATGAAAGCTCTGACACCACAGCCACAGGCACTTGTTCCTGTCAATCAGACAATGCAGGTTTACTATCCACACTTGTACGAAAAAACATTTTTCGTACAAGTGTGGATAGTAAACCCCCTATTGACAGAAACAAGTGCCTGTGTCTGTCAGTGTCACAGACATATCCGACATAATCCGTTCATATCCTATTAGCCTATGGCTAACAACACCGGCCTCATATTTATAACAGTTACACTATACCTTTGGACAATTTCTTAATGTATATCGATTTCTGTTTCTGATAATTTCGGAATTCAATTAGAAGCGCAGATGACCAGCATCCACCCTCTTTTATTCAATCGCACTTGCTCAGCAGATCAGCAGACGACAAAAATTCGCGGGTTCGCATACTTTTAAATAATTCAAGGAACAAGGCAAATTGTCCATAGCCTAAGCGCAGCGAAGACTCCGATCCTAGGACCGGAAGATAATCTTCTGAACAATCGTTGCTATCACAACATTTGAATACATCCGGTAAGTTAGTGTGTGTTTTTTTCAAGTTCTACAGAGATATTTCAAAAGGTAAAAAAACCCTTTACTATACCATTGTTCATTGTTCAAAAACATTGGGCTTCAAAGTCGCTATATACATGAAAAGACAAAAAGCTTCCATTTAAAATCGAGACAGAAAGTCAGAATCCGACCATTTTGGTCTTCAGAGATACATTCTTACAGTTAAGATGCTCTTACATACGGATAGCTCGTATGATTGAAAAAACACGTCTTTCACATGATATCGTAAATCACTGGGCCATAAATTTGTTGTGCATAAGTAGGATGTAGAAAATATGTGGAAACGTGCACCGACAGGCGACACAACTGTATGCATGTACGTACGATAAATCCTCCAATCTTCTTCTTCCATATACTGCTCACATTCAACTTTCTGAATATACTGGCAAATTGGTTCTGCATGGTTAAAAACAGGATAAAAACAAATGTGCATCTTATTTTGTAAGGTTGGTCATTTGAGATTTGAATGTCTCAAATGACTGTGCTGTGGCGATCCCCGGGGAAGCTTGTTCCAGTCTTTGGTGGTGTTCACAAAGAAGGACCATTTACTGCAGTCTTTGGTTGCTGTTTGTACCATGTATCCATGCTGTTGTGTATGTCTGGATACTCTGGTTGGTCTCTGGAGGTACATGTCTTTGTTGATGGTTACTTTGTCGTTGACGATCTTGTACATCATTACGAGCCTGGCCTCTCTGCATCGTTCTTGGAGACTTTTCCAACCCAATTCATTAATCATGTCCGTGACACTTGATCTGTTTCTGTGGCGCTTGGTGACGTATCGCGCAGCCCTCCTTTGAACTTTTTCAATTTGGCCAATATGTTTCTGATGATATGGGTCCCATACTGTTGTGGCATATTCTAGTTGGGGCCTTACTAGAGTTTTGTAAGCTTGCTCTTTGATGCTTTTAGAGCCGATGTGTAGATTTCTGTGGAGGAAACCAAGGCTTCTGCTGGCTTTGCTGGTAATGTTGTTGATGTGTTCTCCCCAGTCTAGTTCGTTTGTGATGGTGCAGCCCAGGTACTTAATTGATGTTTCATGTTTTAGTACATGATCATGTAATACATAGTCCCATTTGATTGGCTTTTTCTTTCTAGAGACAGTCAGTACGCTACACTTTTCTGGGTGAAACTCCATCTTCCACTTTTCCTCCAATAGTGCCAGTTTATCAAGGTCTGACTGTAGGTGTCGGCAATCAGTATCTGAGGCGATGGTTAAGTAGACTACTGTGTCATCAGCAAAGAGACGAACTGTTGATTTTAGGTCATTAGCTAGGTCATTTATGTAAAACAAAAATATTAACCTTTCAGTACTAATAACAGGATAGGGATTTTCTCCCAAATGTTTTCTTATATCTCCTGTTTGGGATGTTATACCCCAAGTAGGATATATAATTTATTTTTTTTATTTTTTATTCCAGGGAAAATATTGCAAAGACCCAAGTGCAAATTGTTTATGGGTTTGATTCCTCAGAAGAGGGTTATTTTCGGAGGGATCACTCAACCTCATAAGTTTACTTTATAATGCTTAAATTGGCTCTAGTCTTTGGAAAATTCAGTGTAACTGTGTTTCACTGTAGTCTGTAGTTCTTCGGTTGTTTCCATATATACTGTAAATTCAGGAATTATTGTGTGCAAGTATCATTTTGATTTTTCAAGAATGGACAAAAATGCAGTTATGCTAAATATAAGCTAGTCCCTCCATTTAATAAAACCTGATTATGTATACGATACAAATTTAAATAGTTATTTATATTTTATTTCACATTGGGAATTTTAATTGTTTTCAAAGAGTTTGAACTCCTGTGGTGTAGTAACCATTCAACTTTCTGTGTACAAGATGTCAATTTAAACTCATTAGAACATGTTGTGATTTACTTGGTAATCAAATAATTCACACCTAATATACATGTCATACTTTGAAATTTTATGTCTCGAAGACATGATTGTGTATATTCAAATGAGAAATTAATACCATTTTCTTGTAAATATTTAATCTGGAAAATTAATGATTTCGTTAAATATTTTGTGTGTTGATAAAAAAATTGTTTTCTTAGTAGAAAATTATTATTATAATTATTGATGGTATGTCATTAAATTGATTTCTTTTGTAAGAAAAAACAATGAATTTTAACTTTGTCTTTATTTTAGATATATATATAAGAATACATTTCGTTACAAAAGTGTGCCTAAAAATGCAAAGGGATAATAAATAAAAACGGGGGCCATTAGTCAGTGACCATTTCACAACGCTTTAAATCACTTCACAACCTGAAAATCTCTTTAATGTGTCATTCTTAAATAACAAATTATATTTTGTTTCGTTTAATACTTAACCGTAAAAAGGTTTTTGACGATAGATTAAAATTATTCTGTAAATATACACAGCCGTTGACATCTTTCACTCCAAATCCTCGCAAGTCTTGTTCAATCTTGTATATGTGGAGTTGGTAATTCGGTCATATCATAAGGAAAAACCTACAAGATTCTAATCCCGCTACGGCTAGTTTAATTATCCCAGATATGGACAGAGAACACAGTTATCGTCCTTTGATTTTCGTTGTCTGCAAATACATGTATATAGTCCCTACTGTGAACAGTGTATAAGTTGCAATTTTTCTCATACCCTTTCCAAATTTATTTCTTCATATTGTATGGGGAATGTATGCCTCAAATAGCAAGAAGGGGAATGAAATTACACTGTAAAAAAATTTGGGTCATGAATTTTCAAGTAGTGATTTGGTCCAGCTCAGGCAGCTGAAAAAGGTTAAAAATTAGTATGTCTGAAGCTGTCAAAAGAATTCAAGACCCCCTTAACATAAAATTGTCCATGTTTTAAGTTAGAGCTGATGAAGTTTTCTATAATTTTGATATAATTTGTCCCAAAAGTAGTACACCACACTAAAAATATTATTGAGAAAGCGCAGGTGGAATTTTTTAATATTCATTTATTGTCTAAAAGAAATGCACTACGAAATAACTGTGTTCTTGGGCCTATAATGTATAGGCACTTGTCTATTCTTGAAGATTTAAAGGTATATGTTTCCTCCTAGATGTTTTTTGGTTATTTTTATCATTGCCCATTGGGTTGCTGTTGCATTGATGTATATTGTATCCCACATTTCCTTATATTCATTTATTAAAATCTTGGTGGTTATAATGTCCCTAAAACAAACTTTTAATAAAAATCCTTTATTTTTTAGAAGGATCCACAATGCCTACCAATCCTGATGAGCCATACTACTGCTCCCAGCAGATTAACATTCCTCCACAGCTACCAGACATACTCAAACAGTTTACAAAAGCTGCAATCAGAACACAGCCAAAAGATGTCTTAGCATGGTCTGCTGCGTAAGTACACTTTAAGTTGTCAAGATTATTAAACCATAGATATAAGATGTGTTCATTTGGAATTGATGAGGAAAAACTAATTTGAAAAAAAAACTAGGAAAACTGAAATTTAAGTTGGGGGTCGGGGAGAGGGAGTAGTACAAACTAAAGAAGTTCGAAAATGAACAAATTAAAGTCCATACATTAACCACCAGGTGACCTATTTAAGGATGCAGTCAGGTGACGTTAAAAAAATCTAGGATTTAAGATTGGTACTATAATTCATAAGAGCATTAGTAAAGACAAAATAAGCTAAAAATATTGATAGATTATGGAACTCCTTTTCATGATATTTGATTTTTAAAAAATGATTGGAAAAGGCTGACTCAGACTTTTACTTTATATTTAGCATTGGCATTATTTGGATCTCAAATCGTAAGAAAAGAAATTTTGAATATGCTTAAATTTTGGTAATGACCATTTTATGAGCTATTGAAGTCTTCTATGAAAAGAAAAGTGGGTGATATGTGGCAAAATATTTTACCCTGTAATTGTAAGAAAAAACCCAAGGAGTCCGAACATCTGACAAAAATTCCTAAACCTGACCCAACTACATCCCTAAAACACGATTTGGGTGGTATTCTTTCAAAAATCTTTTTGTCTTTTAAAATAATTATCTACAGAGGATGTAAATCAGATCACTGAAAATCATACTATTTTACTTTGAATAAGTCATAACAATCAACCATGATTTTAACTAAAACACTTATTTTAAAGAAGTATATGCACTTGTCTTTGTTTAGATACTTCCGAGCAATGTCTAAAGGAGAAACTCCACCTGTAAAAGAAAGATTAGAGATGCCAGTAGCCACCCAAAAGACAGACACAGGCTTAACACCAGGTTTACTCAGAGTTCTTAACAGACAGGTACCTTTTCAACAGATATGAGACACTTTTCTATCTATTATATTTTAAAAATAAAAAAAAGATGTCTAAAAAAACCAGCTGAAAATGTAGAAGGACAATTAAAAGCAGTTGGAAGTGTCTGTACATAATTCTTATTTGTTTCATGCTGATATTTCAAATAAAACAACATTAAAAAACCTCAAAAACAATACTGAAATCGCTTGATGTATAGCTTATTATTGACAAATTTAAAATTGGTATGACGTGAAAGTTAGTGTTATATATAGAACAGTTTTGTCCAATTGTGAAAAACTGTTATTTGAGCTTCTTTTTAATTAATGAAGAATCATAGACTATAACCATTTAGTTGGCATGTCTATTCAAAGGCTTTTTTCATTTTTACATTCTGATATCATATAACAAGGTAAAGACATCAAATACCAGAAAATGGTGGCACTAACTTAAACCTTAGGAGTTGTCAAAACCAAATGTTTAATTTATGTTTATACATTATATCTGTTATAGAGATACATGTAGTAAAGTTCTAGATAGCTTTATTTGCATTGATTTTTAAATATATTGATGTAAAAGCAATGAACTGTGTAAAGAATATGTGTTCTTTTTGTTTCAGCTTGGTCCAAAGAAACAAGTTCCATTAAGTTTAATAGAAGAGAAATGGAATGATTTGGCGTTACCTAAAGAGCAGTTTGATGATATGGTCAGAATCGGCAGTTTTGGTGGCGATGTTGAATGGAATAAATTCTTTGCATTATGTGCATCCACCTTAGGAGAGGTAAAATACACTACAGATTATGTGGATTTTATTATTTCCACCTGTCCACATTTGCAGTGGATTCAAAAATGGAAAACCTTTAGAAATTCATCTGTGTCTTTCCTATAGATTAGACATTTTATCTTTATCATAAGGATTGAACCTAAATGTACTTAATTTACATTGGAAAAATCAGCAAGTTTTGAATTCAATATTTTTAAAAGATCTAAGGTGAAATTTGAGTTGACAAAAGTGGAATTCCCATGGTGTGCATGTTGAAATGACAAAATCTACACGAGTTGATCTGTGGGTATTCCAAATTGTATTAAAAAACTTTACAGTATTTCTTTCCCAACCTGTCATACAATTATTCAGGAGTTATCTTTCTTTATATAGGCTTGAATTTTTTAACATAGTACATGTAAGTTTCTGATATCCGTATCTTTTATCAGGACAGGAATGTTCCTATAAGTATCTTTTATCAGGACAGGAATGCTCCTATCAGTATCTTTTATCAGGACAGGAATGCTCCTATCAGTATCTTTTATCAGGACAGGAATGCTCCTATCAGTATCTTTTATCAGGACAGGAATGCTCATTTCAGTATCTTTTATAAGGACAGGAATGCTCCTATCAGTATCTTTTATCAGGACAGGAATGCTCCTATCAGTATCTTTTATCAGGACAGGAATGCTAACTAAAAATTTGGGAAGCCAAATATTTGCAATAAAACTGATTCAAACTAAAAAGGACTAAAACTGTCTGTCATAATTTTTGTGATATTTAACAATAAATGTTTTGATAATATTTGGATAGATACAAATACTCAGAATTTACATTTTTTCATTCTAATAATAAAGATAATTATATTAAGAAGAAAAAATTAATAATATTTTCCCTAGTTCCAATTATTAGCTGTTTTGGTACGCCATACAAAAAAGTTTCATTTTATTTTAATGAAGCTAACTAAGTTATTCTGTTTTTGACATTAGTAATTTGTTTATCCATTTAATTGAACATGGTTTCTCAAAAGAATTTATTCTGTTTTAGACATTTTATAATTTGTTATCAATGTAATTTGACTAGTGTATTTGTTTCTTAGATAAAACCAAGACATTGTATCTTAATAAAACCAAGACATGAAGGGAAATTTATTGGAAAAGTCCTATTGAAAAAAAACTAGTTGGAAAAATGAAACTTTGTTTAATATGTATAACTGGGAAAAGTTTTAACATTTGAGTAATGAATGGCAGTAATTTAAAAAAGACTTTTATTCTTCTTAAAAATGTTTTTTAAAGTGTGAGTTATCTCCCCTTTATTGTAATAACGCTGTTCCCCTTTCCTTCATCTATTTATTTTTTATTCTATAGATATTGCTTATAAATGCCTGTGAATAAAAGGCACCAGTTGTTACTTTAGAACTATTTTTGAAACCGGTATAACTGTCCAAAATTTTAAACAGGTCATCCAGTTGAAATGTTTTTAATATTTTTAATATTTTCGTTGACATAATAGCTTACAATGTCCAAACTCCAAATTAGTCTTCAAAAGTATTTCTAATATGTATGTTAAAGTTAGAATGATAATTTTTCAGCAACACAATTTGTTAACATAATTATAGTACTAGGTTTGTGTTCATTCAATTAAACTAAGTTTTATTTATTTCCAAGAAAAAGTTTAGACAGAAAAAAACATTGTGACTGTAATTGGGGTAATATATTGGTTTTCTGAAGAGAATTTAGAAAAGAAGAACAAATTTGTTGGTGAATCATCATTAAAAGTGATAAATTCAGCCAACAAAAGTTCTGAGTTTCTGTGACATATATATATATATATATATATTTATTTTCCTTGACATAAATTTTTGAATCTAGTTAGATTGAAATTGAGGTTCTAGTAGGTCAAGATCAAAATTTTCTAACATGACAGCTTTAATAAGTAGATTAATTTATTTTTAATGTTGAAATCCTTAAAGGTTGATTCAATGCTGTTAAAATAAAAAATCAACTTCATTAGAGGTATATAGTGTTTTATTCGCTAACATACATTTTATAAAGGCTTCAAAAAGAATTCTTAGTGAACAGTTTGAAATGAATCATCGTTCATATTGCCAATAACTAAAATTCCAATAAGTGTGGGCTGCAAATAAAACCTGTTCTGTTTATTAGAAAAGAAAGACTGATGCTGGTTTTGTTTTGACTTGAATGGTTTATTGTTAATCTTGATGAAAAATTAAAAGAACTGGCAGGTCCCACATTCCTTGACAATATCCTTTAAATGCTATTACATAATTTCATTCAAACTTGATTAATATCATCCTAAAGAGATTTAGTCTCTAAAAGTTAAACATTCCATTATTACAACTGTATTGAACTATTACTTGTTGTCAACAAGTTGCTTAGGCCATGTTATAGTAATTTTTTGTTTTCATACTTTGTTTAATTCTTAACACTGTAATGAACTATCAATTGTTGTCAACATGTAAGTGGCTTAGGTTGTGTTATAGTAATTCTTTGTTTTCATACCTTGTTAAATCTTCGACACTGTAATCCAAAATCAATTTTCAATAAGCATATATGCTGACTTTGGCAAATCAAGGAAATCAAATATAAACAAATACACATTTTTTTTTTAAATTCATGGAAATTGGTACCCACGAAAAATAAATGAATCCATAGTTATTTTGTGTGTGATTTATTTAGGTGACTTTCACAAGTAGAATAAAAACATGAATACATAGAACTTGCAACTTTTCTAAAACATGTATGAATAAAAAAATAAATTCAGGAAATAAATCACTGTGGAGTTGGCTAAAAATGCTTAATTCAAAAATTCTTAGGAGTAAAAATACTCGTAAGTCACATTTCAGTATAACTAACGATCAATTTTAATCGTAAGATTTTTTGTGAAAAGAGTCGCAGATCTTTTCTTCCTTCCAGTACTTGAAATCAGAATTTTGAAGTGTGCATTAGTTATTGCTAATCTTTTACAATAAAACATGTACATGTATCATTAAATATTCCTGGCAAAAATTTAAGACAAAAAATATTGCAATATGGATTTTTTTGCATCAATGGAAATATGGTTATTTCTTAATTTTTAGAGTGGGATATGAAACACATGGGCTTTGTTTCTTGAAATTGTGCTGAAGTAATTGTGCAGATTTGTTCATTTGATACAAAAATAGAAATGATATGAACAAATTTGAATATCTTTGCGATTTTTCCTTTTTGTGTCTACAAAAGACAATAAAATTCAGAAATATTTTGTCATGGCCATAGAAATTAAGTAGAGGTAAAAGGGATGACAAATAGGGAAAAAAAATGTCAAATTAAATGCAGTTATATTGGAGATCTTTAAAAACAAGATTGATAATGATAAATTTGCCCAGAGACTGCAGCGAAATTAGATTGAAATCATGATCAATTTTTGTAAATTTGCATCATCAGCTTAAGCTTAATAATGGATTTAAGGTGATTTTAAATCTTTTCTTTTTTTTCAAAAGTTGAAATTACTTTAAAAAGGCTCTGATTTTGTTGCTTTGAGCGTTATGGGTATGAAATAGTGCAGTTTAAATTTACTATTAGATTTGTAATTGGTTTGTTTCCTTAGAGAGTTGTAGAAAGTAGAGATAATAATTGCTTGATACAGAGTTATGTAAGATATATTGCCTGAAAAAGAAAATTGTGTTTAGTTAGAAAGATTTGTACAGGTTTTTTCTACCATATAATTTGATCATACATTTTGTAGTTTTAATTTATTTTTTTTTGGGGGGGGGGGGGGGAATTGTTAAATTCTAATTAAAGAATTTATTGGATATGTTTCATGTTGGTTTATTAATTCAAGTTGAATGAAAGTGCATGAAATTAGAAATCCATTCACTTAATGATTGATTAATATGAATGTTTATATAGGTACTTTCAGTGAAAGTCTTTCACCAATCAAATGTAATGAAATATATGCCTTAAACCAAACAAGATAAATTATTATAAATGGCAGATGGTGACTATGATTTGACAGCCAATTTAGCTTTTTCATTATCACGAGCATTTTAACCCTAGCTGAAGTAAATAATAGTTTTGTGGCTGTAAAGGTGTTCTATACATGTACTATACATGTACTATACATCAACTGTTATATTCCTGGTTTGTTAAAAAAGTAAGTTATGAATTTAAATGGAAATAATCTTAATAATGCAGGTACAATCTAAATAAGGACATATTGTATTGGCATTTAGTTGTTTATTGTTAAAGTGTTGAAGGCTTTTCAAAATTGGCCTCTAGATGCCTTTTTTGGTTTTTTTTTTTTTTTTTTTTTTTTTTGAGGGGCAGGGGTGTGTAGCTGTCCTATTGTCATTTGCCCACATGTTCTTTAATGAGCAATTTGATAAGTCTAAAATTATTTAAATTCTGAGTTGGAAGATGTAATGTGTATGAAAAATTAACTGATTTTTTTATTGTCCTGTTATATAATTCATTTTGTGATACCACTTCTGTAGCAGTGATGTTAATACAGGTAATGTAGCCACTAATCCTAATATTTGACAATGGATATATTCATCTGAAATGTTTATAGCACCTCATAATCATTTTCAAAACACTTCATGTGTTTTAAAATTTAATTTATGTATTTTGCAGACAATAATCGATGCAATGAAGACTGTGTGTGAAATATTAACAGCTGATCCAGATGGCGGCCCTGCTCGTATACCTTTTCAATTATTTAAAGATATTTATCAATACCTTGCACAGATAGATGGTGAAATATCACAACAACAAATAAACGAAGTTTTCAGTTATCTTAAATATGATGTGTAAGTTTACATAGTAGTAAAAAAAGGGGGATTTTTATACGCCCGTCAAATTTTTGACGGGACGTATTATGTTATACAAATGTCCGGCGTCCGTCTGTCTGTCCGGCGTAAACATGTCGCACCGTAACTTGAGAATGACTTATCCATATTTCATGAAACTTAACATAGTTCTTTCTTATGATGGTCAAATGATCTGTATACTTTTTGGTGAAAATAAGATTAAAACTTTTTGAGTTACGGGACTTAGTAACTAAAACAGGTGTGTGTTTTTTTTCACATGTCGCGCCGTATCTCAAAAACAATTTATGATTATTGCTTAAAACTTTACACACTTCTTAGTTATATTAATCTTAAGATCCTTATACTTTTTGGTGATGATTCAAAATTTTATTTTTGAGTTATTGAGTATTTTGTTAAAAAAGGGGGAGGGGTTTTTCACATGTCGCGCCGTATCTCAAAAACAGTTTATGATTATTGCTTAAAACGTTACACACTTCTTAGTTATATTAACCTTAAGATCTGTATACTTTTTGGTGATGATTCAAAATTTTATTTTTGAGTAATTGAGTATTTTATAAAAAAAGGGGGAGGGGTTTTTCACATGTCGCGCCATATCTCAAAAATGATTTATGATTATTGCTTAAAATTTTACACACTTCTTAGTTATATTAATCTAAAGATCTGTATACTTTTTGGTTTGATTCAAAAAAATTTTTTTGAGATATTGATTTTTTTTTTTTAAAAGGGGTGTTTTCACATGTCGCAGCGTATCTCAAAAACGATTTATGATTATTGCTTAAAATTTTACACACTTCTTAGTTATATTAATCTAAAGATCTGTATACTTTTTGGTTTTTATTCAAAATTTTATTTTAGAGATATTGAGTTTTTTGTAAAAAAAAAAGGGGGTTTTCGCATGTCACGCCGTATGTCAGAAACTATTTATGCTTATTGCATAAAAATTCACACACAAGACGACGGGCGTATCATGCGCTCATGGCGCAGCTGTTTATTGGTCTCTGCGTCCATTCGTCTGTCTGTCCTGCTTCAGGTTTAAGTTTTTGGTCAAGGTAGTTTTTGATGAAGTTAAAGTCCAATCAACTTGAAACTTAGTACACATGTTCCCTATGATATAATCTTTCTAATTTTAATGCCAAATTAGAGTTTTTACCCCAATTTCACGGTTCACTGTACATAGAAAATGATAGTGCGAGTCGGGCATCCGTGTACTATGGACACATTCTTGTTAATTTGAAGGTTTTTTCATTGAAAGTACATAATTTTATTGGAAGTTTTAGATTGATGAACTAAATTACTCCATTTTTTATCTGAGAATTAATCTATAGAACCCATGCAGACTTAGTATAAATGCTTTTACTTAAGGCATAGTATGCATAATTGCAGTGTTCCCCCAGACCCTTAAAGCACTTAATGGGCACCATTTCGGATATTGAAGGAATTTTGTTTGCATTTACACCTGGGTGAACTTCATCAGAAAATCGTAAAAATAATATATCTTTCTGCTTTAATTCTATAGATATAGCAAATCAAAAATTTGGAAAACCAGTCTATAAATGTAAAGAATGTATGTGACAAGCCTTAATTTATAAATAACTAACACTAATTACATCTTGTCACAAATCAAACAATCAAATCAGCAACACTTCAAATTCAATAACATGTCCTTGTCTTGATCTGTTTTCAGTCCAGAGCGTTCTTCCATCAGTTTTGTATTCTTTGTTGCATCATGTTATGTTTGCACAAAAACTTTTTTCTGCTAATTTATCATCTTTGTTATTGTTCTATAAATGGCTACGGAAATTATCTTTTCGCTACTTACATTTCCCCATATTTATGAAGACAAAGTATTTATCTTTATCCTGGGTTGAAATATCTAATCAAAACATGTAAAAGATTGGTAATGAATTTGATATTCAATCTTTTCTTTGACATAAGAGCTTGAACATGGTCTGGGTGATGTTTTGTTTATTAAATAAAGCCCCTCATAATATGATTTTTAACCACAATTATGACAGAGTTTGGATCAATACAATCTATTACAATGTTTTATAGCAGTTTTAGATGAAATATTGTGATGCTACGATTTCAATTAGCTTTGGTTACCCAGAAGACATAAATAAAAGCATATGTAATTTGTAATTGTCTGATAATTTTTTATTGTTTAATTGTTTGGAGAAAAGTGATGGTTTTTGATTGATGATGGATATAATATGTTTTCCCATTTTTCAAAGGATTTTTTCAAGAATGTCTATTTCGGTTTTATATCAAATTTCCATTTATAATCCAGACCTCTCAAATGAAATAATAAATAATACATGGGTCTGCATATATCTTTCATCAAGGATGTCAAATTCAGATTAAAAATTTAACTGAAGTGACCATTAAGTTTGCCATTTAAGAATCTTATATAGTATTTTCAAAAGAATGTATACACCAAAATATTTTGAATTAAACTTTTAAAAAATGAAAGTTCAACTTGTAATTTGACCCTATTTTCATTTTTGGGTACTTTAAGAATGAAATAACACCATTTAGATTCTGCAACAATGAATTATGTTCTTAAATGACTTATCAGTTGGTATTACCTTAAAAATAATTTAACATTGACCTGCCAGAGGAATTGAATGGTACTATCAGATATGTTTAACACTCAAATACAATACAGTTTGATCACATTCAATAAAAAAAAATTGAAAATGTTTTTACAAAACAAAAAAACACATATACATCTTTTTTTACTTTATTTAATATGTGACACATGATTTTTGATAATTCCTTTGCCACTATTCTATATTTTTTTTTGCAGGGATAAGCAAGATGGATATGTACAACCTAGAAACTTCTTAAGTCCTGAGTGTCCTAAGTTATCAGCAGCATAAATAAACTTTGTTTTTAACTTTAATGTTTTAGACTTTGTATTTCATTACCACAGAGAAGTTCAATCTGTCTATTATGTTTCCCACTGAACAAAACTGTTCAAATTTGTTTTAAAAAAATAGAATGTTAGTAGAAAGTTATATCAAGGCAATACCAATAGAAGGGGAACTAACTCTGAGTTATAGAAATATTAAATTGATAAAAGGGGGATAACTCTATTATGTACAATCAAATCTTCTTTTGTTTGTAAACAGTGGCTCTGAGGACCAGTGTCTGAAGCATTTGTTATATTATTGATTTTTTGTATTTTGTACATAAAGATGCATGCAATCTACAAATAAATTATTTTGTACAGTTTATTGTTATTCATATACTAGTACACAAAAACAAACTTTAACTTCAATAAAGTTGGGAACTACCACTTTTTCATCAGTTGAAGTCCTTCAATCATGAGTTTTGAGTGAGGCTTGGTGAAAGTAAAGACTATTAAATTAGTATTTCCTGATTTTATACAAAACTATAGACTATTAAATTGGTATTTCTGCATGTCTGTTATGTAAAACTAAAGACCATTAAATTGGTCTTTGCTACTTCTTTGTTATGCAAAAATATAGACTATTAAATAGGTATTTGCAACTTCTCTGCTGTGCAAAAATATGGGCTATTGCTATTTGCTACTTTTCTGCAATGCAAAACTATAGACTATCAAATTGGTATTTACTGCTGCTTCTCTGCTATGCAAAACTATAGACTATCAATTGGTATTTGCTACTTCTCTGCTTTGTAAAACTATAGACTGTTAAATTGGTATTTGCTGCTTCTCTGCTATGCAAAACTATGGACTATTAAATTGGTATTTGCTCCTCTGCTATGCAATACTATAGACTTAAATTGGTATTTGCTGTTGCTCTACTATGCAAAACTATGGACTATTAAAGTGGTATTTGCTTCATTTGTTATGCAAAACAAGACAATTAAATCGGTATTTGCTGTTTCTCTGCTATGCAAAACAATATAGACTATTAAATTGGTATTTGCTTTTTCACTACTGTGCAAAACTTTAGACAATTAAATCAGCATTTGCTACTTCACTGTTATGCAAACTCTAAACAAATAAATTGATATTTGCTACTTCACTGTTATGCAAAACTATAAACAATTAAATTGATATTTTGCTACTTCACTGATATGCAAAATTATAGACTGTTAAATTGGTATTACTGTGATTTGATTGTAAGTTTTGCTGTCCACCTATTGCATTTCATTCTAAACTCTGACAAATTGCAATTTGTCTCATCAAATCATACTGTTCAACTTGTGAAAAATTTTAACCAACTGCTAAAAGAACCAGTCAATCATCTAATGATTAAAGTGATAAAATAAAGCATACTTACAATCTTTTATGATTTGAATTCCACTTCACGGCTTCAATGAAACGAGTCACTGTCGTTACTTCTCTGCTATGCAAAACTATGGACTTTTGAATTGGTATTTGCTGTTTCTCTGCTATGCAATACTATTACTTGCTACTTCCCTGCTATTCAAAACTATGGACTATTAAATTAGTAATTGTTGCCCTGATGCAAAACTATGGCCTAAATTGGTATTACATGTACTTGGTTCTCTGCTATCCATTATACATAAAAGGACGGGTGACAAGAATTGAGTTCTGCATTTAAATGTATGAGTATAGATTTGTTGACTAAGAGACAATATGGTGTGTGCAATTAGGCGTTCCTTTAGACAATTCTTTATTAGATTAGCACCTGAAAAAACCAAGTTAGTACAAAGAAGAGCTTAATTATAAATAAGAAGATGTGGTATGAGTGCCAATGAGACAACTCTCCATCCAAGTCACAATGTATAAAAAGTAAACAATTATAGGTCAAAGTACAGCCTTCAACACGGAGCCTTAAGTTCATATGCCGTGACATAAATTTTATGGTCCTGTGTATCATTCATGGGTTACCAATTTGTCTCTTCATGTTAATCATCTAATCCTTCAGTTAGGTTAAGGCTAAAATTTGTAGACTGCCTCAATAGATTCATAAAATGTTGTGCAAAATTTCTGGGACAAAAGTATAAATGACACTTCACATTATGAAAGTCAGTAAACCTAATTAAGCAAACAGTAAAGGGACAACTACTTCATAAGTATTCAAGTTACCTATTTTCACTGGAAAGCATAAAACTCTTGTACTGATTTTTCAGCAACAGAGTTATGGTGACAAGACTTAGACGTGCTACTTCCTGTATCAGTGACGGCATCAACAATTTGTTGAAGTTTTAATAGGGTTAGTTTAAGTGAACTACTAATGGTATACAATTGAATAAAAATCAACAAACCTCATTGTTGGTCCTCAATGCTAACTCCGTACTTTATTCGGCCTTTTTAACTTTTTTTGATTCGAGCGTCACTGATGAGTCTTTTGTAGACGAAACGCGCGTCTGGCGCAAATACAAAATTACAATCCTGGTATCCATGATGAATTTGTTTCCATAAAGATAGTTTTGCCCCACACCCTCGGTCATGGTTTTTTTACTGAAATTTTATGACAGTTTAAAAGGAAAGCGGTTTTTATGATCTTTGTTATGGAGTTCTTTTAGCATCTGCATATCTCACTTCCATGGCGATCATATGGCCCCACTCCCTCAGTCTTTGAAATTTTTAAAGTTTATATTTTGTTTATCAGTTTAGTTTTGGTCCTTTTTGGTTTTATCAGCTCTTCAACGTATTTTAAGTATTTGTTATATATATTTTGGCCTAAAACATATCTGACGAATATTAATTTGATTTGCAGACCAACAACTGTGTTGCTCACATGGAATGAATGGCACTTTTCTTTTATAAGGGAGGGCCTTCGGCTGGAAACTTAATTGGCAATCCTAGTCAATTAAGATCGGAGTCGAACGCACCTGTTACATGTGGTGTTCGAACTCATAACCTCAGTGCTGACTCCCTGTCCGCACCGACTGGTGTTCATCTGCACTGTTCTTCGCGGTAAGTTTTGGAGCAATGCTTCGTTTTCCTTGGTACGTCTCAGAAGATCGACAACCTTTTCGAAGTAAAATATAAAATTATAAATAATCAAAAGTATATGTACACGCGACACAATCGTCATCTAGAAAATAAAAATATCAATGTTGTTAAAAAACAAATTGGAGTAACAGTCTCATTCCGAACGTCCTTTCTATTGTGAATTGTCATTATTTTGTATATCCTATTACTCTCAGACACATAAACTTGTATTTTCATTGTAATTGCCATTTTATATTCTCTACAAAATACTAATCTAAAGACCTTCTGTATATCGTTTCTCTACATAAGTCATCCTAAATCATACAATGTTTTGCAGAATCGTTTGTATTAGTGGAGCAAATCACACTTGAGTGAATTAATTGTCTTATCGATGCTGATATATCTATTCTATATACTATAATTGATCTTTTGAGTTTACGGAAGTGGCGGATTGAGAGGATAATGACATTTATAAAATGTGAAAGAGGTATGGCTTCTTTTACTTACTATTTATTTTTAGCAACGGTTGGTGAGACAAATGAATAAAATTGAAGAGCAGAACGACACGAAATGCCCGATAGAAGAGGCAAAGTTGTCTCCGGTTTAACAGACACTGTAAACCTGATATAGGGAGTCTCTAATTTCTGCATTGCAGACCCAAAAAAACCACAGATACAAATAAAACAATCGAATGATCCTTTTTGCAGTTTTATTTTGGGTGTTTTTTGGGGTGTTTTTTTTTTTTTTTTTTTTTTGTATCGTTTCGTTTTGTTTTTTATTTCTTTTTTGTGAAAGGGGCGTTTTTCTCCTTGAAGCCCCTAATTTTTGACGAACTCTACTCGATTAAACTTTTTCATTAATGTTGGAAAAGATCGACAACAGTCTAGTGGATATTAAGAGGTTATATAAATCAAAGCAATTTATTGTTGTTGATTGAGTTGATATTAGAATCTGATTACCATACCAATTTACCACAAGATCTTCCACAGCAGACGACAATCTGTGTCACGTGTTTATTATGTTTGACATTTAAAACGAATATCTAATTTGACAGGAGGTTAACCTTCTATTTTCGTGTTCTGAGGGACAAATAAACAATGAATGAATTCAATAGTGACTGTTTCTAATAATTTGTTTTAGATCAGTATTGTCTGTCATTTTCCCGCAAGATAGCGGGGAGACATGCGGGCGAAAATGATGACTGGTACAATGTTACCAATATGTTTATGATTTATCAACTAGTCAAATTGCGAACATTTTTTTTTTACGGAAACGCATGTGACAAAAAAATAATGTGTCATCCGATTGATCCTTGATACGGTGCTTTTTGTCCGCAATTTGCCTTTTGTCCGCTTTTGCTTTTTGTCCGATAATTTTGCTTTTTGTCCGACACTTTTGCTTTTTGTCCGTTGCTTTTTGTCTGTTTTGCTTTTTGTCCGATAATTTTGCTTTTTGTCCGACACTTTTGCTTTTTGTCCGTTGCTTTTTGTCTGTTTTGCTTTTTGTCCGATAATTTTGCTTTTTGTCCGACACTTTTGCTTTTTTGTCCGTTGCTTTTTGTCCGTTTTGCTTTTTGTCCGATAATTTTGCTTTTTGTCCGACACTTTTGCTTTTTGTCCGTTGCTTTTGGTCCGTTTTGCTTTTTGTCCGCTGAATATGCTTTATGTCCGATATAAAAATGTGTATATTTTTTGCAGGTTTCATTTTGAAATGATCGATCACCATAAATATAACGTTACAATTATCCCACTGAAACTACCAGCCCAATATCATAGTAAATTTGGCCATATCATCCTTTAGTAATGAGAATCTGGAAGCAAGAAGGATTCCGATGAACTCACCGGTCGCCAAATATGACTGCAATGGTTAACATAGAATAAAAAGTCGTAAAATACAATTTAAACTTATTCGTATATCAAAACCCTTAAAATTAGAAATTTTGATTAAGAATATCTGACAGAGATTAAGTGTTAAGAATGTGAAGAACGTCTTACTTAAACTATCGCACGACTCCTTTAATATTAGACCTATTGCCCATAACTGAAACTATTTTGATTTGTGTTTTGTGTTTTTGTTGTTTTTTTTGTTGTTTTTTTTTGTTGTTGTTGCTAATCTTGAAAACATAAAAGGTCAGAGAGAAACTTCGAAAATGTTTTAAAAAGTGTACTATCAAGACGATAACAAAAAAAAAGAATACATTTCTACCTTAGTCGGTTTAGCTCAAGTTGACGCCCTTTATGGCTCAGCTATTCAACATTTTTATCAGATTTTGTTTAGTCTCCAACATCACTGAAGAGATATTAATTGCTAAAATGGCTGGTGCAATAAAATTGGTACC